GGGTTCAGGCAATTCTCCTGCCTCAGCCTCTCCTGAGTAGCTGGGATTACAGGCACGTGCCACCATGCTCAGCTAATTTTTTGTATTTTTAGTAGAGACAGGGTTTCACCGTGTTGACCAGGATGGTCTCGATCTCTTGACCTTGTGATCCACCCGCCTCAGCCTCCCAAAGTGCTGGGATTACAGGCTTGAGCCACCGCGCCCAGCTCAAGTTTATTTCTTAACTGTTACAAGGGCCCCTGTGCCCTGTAATTTGGCACCCTGTACCACTTAATTATTTTTACTCTGTCTTTTTAGGTGTCTGTAGTTTAAGTATTAAAGCTTTACTTACACTGAACACGTAATTACATTTTAATGCTGAGGATGCCGACTCTTAAACGCTGTTTTTTTGTTTTCTTTTTTGGGATGGAGTCTTCCTCTGTCACCCAGGCTGGATCGCAGTGGTGCAGTCTCAGCTCACTGCAACCTCCACCTTCTGGCTTCAAACAATTCTCCTGCCTCGGCTTCCCAAGCAGCTGGGACTATAGGCACATACTACCATGGCCCAGCTAATTTCTGTATTTTAATTTCAATTTTTATTTTCATTTTTTTTTTTTTTTCTTGAGACGGAGTTTGGCTTTTATTGCCCAGCTTGGAGTGCAATGGCATGATCTCGGCCCACTGCAACCTCTGCCTCCTGGGTTCAAGTGATTCCCCAGCCTCAGCCTTCCAAGTAGTTGGGATTATAGGCATGTGCCAGCATGCCTGGCTAATTTTGTATTTTTAGTAGAGCTGGGGTTTCTCCATGTTGGCCAGGTTGGTCTCAAACTCCCAAATTGTTGTTGGGATTACAGGCGTGAGCCACCATGCCTGGCCAGCTCTTGAACTTTTAAAGCAAGCCCTCAGTGTCTGTGGGCCCTGAGTGCGATCTTCCATGCTGATTGCCCTATTTTTTAGGAAAGCAGTAGAGACAGACCAGAGGGTCCGCATGGCCCGTTGCTGTGAGGATGTCTGTGCCCACCTTGTGGACTTGTTTCTCGTGGAGGAAATCTTCCAGACTGCAAAGGAGACACTCCAGGAGCTTCAGTGCTTCTGCAAGTATCTGCAGCGGTGAGTCCGTGTCCCTACAGGCAAAATCCACACACGGGGAAGAGTCTTTTACCAGATTCAAAATGTATGAGCCATCAATTCCTTTACTCAGTGGTAAAAGGATCAGGGAAACTAAAATGGACTCTAATTGGATTATATTGGGTTTCAGAAATACTTGATTACGTGTGAGAGATACATACACACACACGCACGCACGCACAGAGTATAAACTAAGGGGAAAAGTCAGGAATTAGATAGGGGTGCGGTAGCTGCTCTGTATTTCAGCAGATACTTACAGGGTGCCTGCCATGTGCCCACGCCACTGGATGGTGGGAGATGGCTGTGAACAGGCCAGATGATGGTTCTGTGCACCAGCAAATGTGAATTCTCAAAACAGAAGTAGTGGGAAAAAAGCGATTAATAGGGAATATACAAATACTGTATATTCATACCAAGTTGCTTATTTTGGATTTTTATATAGTGGTATAATCCTAAAGAAAAGGAGGAAAATAATGATCATAATCTTAGCTTAGTAGTTACTTTTGGGAATAGGAGGGCTGCCTGTCATGGCTACAGCGTCTCAGCTGGATGAAAGTGCATAGGTGCTTGATTATTTATTAATCTTTAAACGGGGCATATATGTGTTACGTGTGTTGTATGATTTATTTCACAGTAAAATTTAAAATAAGTAATAGTGTCCTTGACAGTTGTAACAGGATAGAAGGGAGTATGGGGAGAAGTGCGTCTCCCTTCCGCAACAGACCTCTGTCCATTGTTCGAGCAGCAGCTGCTTGTGAATCCATCCAGAGACTTTCCGTCCTTTCCTGTGGCTGTTGGCACAGGTGGCCTCCTGACCCCTGCTTTGCTCTGAGCCTTTCTATGCTCCATCTGATAAGAGGTGGAGGCCTGGCTGTAGCAGCGTGTTGAGCTCTCAGCATTGCCAGTGGTGTCGAGGTCAGTGCGAGAATGTACCAGTGATGACCTTCCTGGTCCACTTGTTGATGGACTTTGATGTGGCTCTCCTTTTAGCTCTGGCAAAGAGCGTCACAGCGACTGTCCTTGTACAGACATTGCACTCGGTTGCACACAGGCACGTGTGTCTGGAGATAAATTCCTGTCAGTGGCGGCTGTGGGTCAAGGGATATATGTGTATCTGGTTTTTTTGGACAGGAGTCTCCTTCTGTTGCCCAGGCTGGAGTGCAGTGGCGTGGCGTGATCTCGGCTCACTTCAACCTCCACCTCTCGGGTTTAAGTTATTCTCCTGCCTTAGCCTCCTGAGTAGCTGGGACCACAGGCACCTGCCACCATAACCGTCTAATTTTTTGTATTTTAGTAGAGATGTGTTTCACTGTGTTGCCCAGGGTGGTCTCAGACTCTTGAGCTCAGACAATCTGCCCACCTTGGCCTCCCAAAGTGCTAGGATTACAGGTGTGAGCCACTGTGCCCGGCTGGGCATATGTATCTTAGATCTGTATCTGCAGGGTCCAGCCCCACAGGGTCTTGTGGGTGTTCTTTTGTGTGCAGAGACGATAGATCGTAGAAGAGAAAGACACAAGGACACAGAGATAAGAATTCAGCTGGGCGGGGGACCACTGCTGCCAGGGGGCGGAGTCCAGCAGTGGCCCCGAATGCCTGGACTCACGGACATTTATTGTAAACAAGGCAGGGGGGCAGGGCCGGAGAGTGAATTATCTGACACGATTGCTAGGGGTCAAGCAAATCACTTTCTTAAAATATGGGGGGGCCACATGGGCACAGTTCAGCAGGTCACGTGGGTACAGTACAGAGGGCCCCTCCCTCAGGTAGCTGCTGCAAGGAGGGGAGGCACATAGGTCAGTATCTTTCTATGCACTTATCAGAGAGATCAAAGGCTTTTAGGATTCCTCTATTCTTCTAAGAATTTACAAGGGAGCATCGGGTGGGAAAGTGGAACATGAAAGTGGACAAGGATGGTGACCATCGGAGCACTGCACCATAGAGAGGTGTTTAAGCCCCTGGATGTCTGTGGGCTGGCTAGCTAGTGTCAGACCTTCCTCAAGAGCCGGCAGAGCAGAGTTTTCTCTGAACTCCCCAGTGAGAGGGAAACTCCCCCTCATGGCCTGCTAAGTATCGGGCACCTCCCCAGATGCTGGCAATACTGCAAGGCCTGCCTGCTAAGTAACGGGCGCCTTGCCAGGCACTGGTGTTACCACAAGGCTTTTACTCTTGCCTCCTGATCACTTCTCACAATGTCCCTTTAGTTCCTAATTATATTTTACTCTATTATTTCTGTAGTATGAGGCTAAAAACGTTCCTACGCTGTAATACTAAAGGAAAAGTTAATAATAGAGAATAATAATGTAATAAGATTGACTATATAATTAATTATGTGATTGTATGTAAGTCTAATTGGTGTCATTGCTATAACCAAGTAATCAGTTATTTATGTTTGATATCACTGCTATGTCTAAGTAATCATTTATTATGCTGGGACAGATGTGCCTTCCGTTTCTTGCCATGGCACCTGGGCAACTTTCTTCCCACATGTCTCCATATTGCCAAGTCGGCCTCCAAAGCGCATTCATTGTTAGTTCTTATATCCAGTAGTTTCATTGCTCACCACGCTCATTTGATATCATTCCTTCCCCATGCCTGAGTTGTTTTTATTTATTTATTTATTTATTTTTTGTTGGCCAAGTCAGCAACATGCCTGAGTTTTAACTCCAATTTGTTTATAGGTTTGAAGACATTGAAAACACTCAGTGATGATGTGTTTTTGTGTCCCCCAGGTGGAGGGAAGCTGTCGCAGCCCGGAAGAAACTGAGGCGCCAGATGCGGGCTTTCCCTGCTGCGCCCTGCTGCGTGGACGTGAGCGACCGGCTGAGGGCGCTGGCGCCCAGCGCAGAGTGCCCCATTGCTGAGGAGAACCTGGCCAGGGGTCTCCTGGACTTGGGCCACGCAGGGAAATTGGGCATCTCCTGCACCAGGTCAGCATCAGCTGGAGGGATCCTCTGACAGCTCAGCCAGGTGGCGTTGCTTGTCTTGGCGGTGAACCTAGCAATCGCCAAGTCTCTGCACTATGGACCCCGCTCCTTCCCCAGCTGTCCTCACTGCTCTCCCCAAACATGCTAGGTCCAGCTGTGGCCCAGCATAGCCATGTGCTCTGCTGCTGGGAGTTGTCATGCTGGCTGCCCCTGTTTCCTTTAGGTCATTGCTCACCTATCATCTGACCACCCTGGTGAGATTGCAACACACACCCCAGCTCCAGCCATACCTGGCAGCATTTGCCCACAGTGCCCACACCTCCCACATGCCAGGCCAGCATTTAGAGATGCTTGAAGGGCAGGATTTATTGCTGAATCTCCCACAGTCAGCACACAGCAGATACTTAATTGATATTTGTGGAATGAAGAAATCCTCTTAATCCTTTTTTTTTTTTTGGAAATGGGGCCTTGCTCTGTCACCCAGGCTGGAGTGCAGTGCTCGTGATACTGGCTCACTGCAACCTCTGCCTCCCGGGTTTAAGCGATTCTCCTGCCTCAGCCTCCTGAGTAACTGAGACTATAGGTGTGCACCACCACACCCAGTTAATTTTTTGTATTTGTAGTAGAGACAGGGTTTCACCGTGTTAGCCAGGATGGTCTTCATCTCCTGACACTGGGATCTGCCCACCTCAGACTCCCAAAGTGCTGGGATTACAGGCGTGAGCCACCGTGCCTGGCCTGTAACCAATTTCTTTAGCAGAAAGTTTTTTTTCAGTCTCCTGGGTATTCCCCAGGGGACACTCACTAGCCAGTCCTTTTCACTAAGCTCCTTCAGGGACACTGTCATTCTGCTTTCCTTTGTAGGTTAAGGCGGCTCAGAAATGAGACGGCTCACCAGATGAAGGTTCAGCACTTCTACCAGCAGCTGCTGAGGTCTGTCATGCCCCACCCTTCTGGGTGCTCCCCACTAACCCCCCACTCCGTCTCCCAGTCTGTCACACTGACAGCTCTTCATGCATCTGTGGTCTCTTTGCTGAGTTTCAGACATGGTTTCTAGTTTGCAGTTCAACCTCTGACCCTGATTTTTCCCCATCCTGCACCTTCCTGCTCATAGGATGTGTGTGCTGCTCAGGGTCTCACATACTGGCTAACCCACGGTGGTCTTTTCCTTCCAGCGACGTGGCGTGGGCGTCTCTGGACCTGCCATCCCTTGTGGCTGAGCATCTCCCTGGGAGGCAGGAGCATGTGTTTTGGAAGCTGGTGCTGGTGTTGCCGGATGGAGAAGAGCAGTCCCCAGGGAGTCCTGGCAGGTCAGGAAGGGTTTCCCCTGTGGGGTTTCCAAGAGGTAGAGTGGACGGGGGCAGAGCTGTGGGCCAGGGCCAGAGCTGTGGGCGGGCCAGGTATTCCTTTTATGTGTGATGGGAACTCTGAAGCATAGGTTTAACGTTTTAATGCTTGGATTTATGGTCTGTTTTGCTTAGGATATTAAGTTGAAACTTTAGATTTGATTATTTCCATTTTTATTCCATAAGCTTGGGGTATTAGTCCGTTTTCACACTGCTTTAAAGAATTATCTGAAACTTGGTAATTTATAAAGAGGTTTAATTGGCTCATGGTTCCACAGGCCGTACAGGAAGCATGGCCGGGGAGGCCTCAGGAAACCCACAATCATGGTGGAAGGCGAAGGGGAAGCAGGCATGGCCTACATAGCCGGAGCAAGAGGAAGAGAGAGCAAAGTGGGAGGTGTTACACACTTTTAAACAACCAGATCTCATGAGAACTCACTGTCATGAGAACAAGAAGGGGGAGATCCACCCCTAGATACAGTACCTCCCACCAGGCCCCTCTTTCAACACTGGGGATTACAGTTCAACATGAGATTTTGGGTGGGCACACAAATCTGAACGATGTCACTTGGCAACAGTATTTAAAGCTGTGTTAAGGTGTTGATAGACCTGCTTTATTTTAGACTCTTCGGTAAGATACTTTATAGTTTGTTTACTATAGTTTCATTTTTCTCCCATTCAGAATAAACTTTTGGCATTTTAAAAATGAAAAAAAAATTGACATGGTCTTACTTCCTGTAACTAGCATACAGAAGTCTTTTTTTGAGACAGAATCTCGCTGTGTCACCAGGCTGGAGTGCAATGGCACAATCTTGGCTCGCTGCAACCTCTGCCTCCTGGGTTCAAGTGATTCTCCTGCCTCAGCCTTGCAAGCAGCTGGAATTACAGGCTCATGTCACCACACCCAGCTAATTTTTTTTTTTTTTTTTTTGGTATTTTAGTAGAGATGGGGTTTCACCGTGCTGGCCAGGCTGGTCTCAGTCTCCTGACCTTGTAGTCCACCCGCCTGGGACTCCCAAAGTGCTGGGATTATAGGAGTGAGCCATTGCACCTGGCCAGAAGTCTTTTTTTTTTTTTTTTTTTTTTCCAGTTTTTGAGCTGGAGTCTCACTTTGTCACACAGGCTGGAGTACAGCGGCTTGGCTCACTGAGGCCTTCGCCTCCTGAGTTCAAGCGATTCTCCTGCATTAGTCTCTTGAGTAGCTGGAATTACAGGCGCGCACCACCCCGCCTGGCTAATTTTTTCTTATTTTTAGTAGAGATGGGGTTTTACCATGTTGGTCAGGCTGGTCTCGAAATCCTGACCTCGTGATCCACCCGCCTCGGCCTCCCAAAGCGCTGGGCTTATAGGTGTGAGCCATTACTCCTGGTCAAGAAGTCATAGTTTTAAAGCAACTACAGTTTCTTTCTTCTGAGACAGGGTCTTGCTTTGTTGTCACCTAGGCTGGAGGGCACTGGTGTTATAATGACTCACTGAAGCCTCGACCTCCTGGGCTCAAATGACCTTCTCACCTTAGCCTCCTGAGTAGCTGGAACTACAGGCGTGTGCCACCATGCCTGGCTAATGGTTTTTCTTCTTTGAAAGATGGGTTTCACTGTGTTTCCCAGGCTGGTCTTGAATTCCTGGGCTCAAGCAATCCACGTGCTTTGGTTTCCCAAGGTTTTGAGATTACAAGTGGGAACCACCATGACCGGCTTAAAACAGTTTCTTTTTAAGATAGATTTATTGATATGTTATTCACATACTATAAACTTCACCCATTTGTAAGTAAGCACATAATTAGATACTAGCATTAAATTTGAAGTGTACATTTCAGTGATTTTTAGATATATCCACAGGGTTTTGCAACCATCACTGTTAACTAATTCCAGAAAGCCTTTTCACTCAAAAAGAAAGCCCCTATTCTTTTTTTTTTTTTTTTTTTTTTAGATGGAGTCTTGCTCTGTTGCCCGGGCTGGAGTACAGTAGTGTGATCTGGGCTCACTGTAACCTCTGTTTCTCAGATTTAAGCAATTTTCTTGCCTCAGCCTCCCGCGTAGCTGGGATTACAGGTGCACACCACCCAGCCTAATTTTTGTATTTTTAGTAGAGATGGGGTTTCACCCTGTTGGCCAGGCTGGTCTTGAACTCCTCACCTGAGGTGATCTGCCTGCCTCGGCCTCCCAGAGTGCTGGGATTGCAGATGTGAGCCACCGTACCCAGCCTGAAACCACTGATCTGCTTTCTGTTTCCATAAATTTGCCTATTCTAGATGTCTTACATAAATGGAATCATATAATATGTAGCCTTTTGTGAATCTCACCTTTCCCTTCTGGGATATTTTCTAGACTTTTCCACGTTGAAGCATATGTTAGTGCTTCCTTCTTTTCTGTGGCTGAATAATACTCCATTGTGTGAGTATACCTTATTTATCCATTTATCGGTTGATAGGCATTTGGGTGGTTTCTACTTTTTGGCTACTGTGAAAAGACTGCTATGAATACGCGTGTAAGTATTTGTGTGGACATGTGATTAATAATTCTCTTGGTTATATAGCTAGGAGTGGGATTGCTAATTGTATGGTAACTATATGTTTAAGTCTTTGAGGAATTGCCAAACCTTTCTGTGGTGGCTACATCTTTAACATTCCTACCAGCAATATATGAGGGTTCGAAGTTCTCTGAACACATTTCTTTTTAAACTCCATTATCTAATTCCAGAATACTTTTTCACTTAAAAAAAAAAAAAACCCCAGGTAAGCTTGGAACACATGCAGTAAGGAAAAAGAAAGAGAAAGTCATGATGTTCATCTCATAGGACAGCTGAACAAAGAAGAATGTTGTGGCATTTTAAAAATATTTAAATGGTGATTCATTTTTCCTATTTTTTTTTTTTTTAATTTTGAGACAAGGTCTTACTCTATCCCCCAGGCTGGAGTTTAGTGATGCGATCTTGGCTCCCTGCAACCTGACCTCCTGGGCTCAAGTGGTCTTCCTGAGTAGCAGAGACTATAGGCATGTACCACCATGCCGGGCTAGGTTTTGTAATTTTTTTTTTTTTTTTGTAAAGACAGGGTTTTGCCATGTTGCCCAGGCTGGTCTTGAACTCCTGGCTCAAGCAATCCACCTGCCTTGGCCTTCCAAAGTGCTGGGATTACAGGTGTGAGCCACCACGCCCAGCTGAGGATTCATTTCTTAAAATAGCTGTCTTGTGATTTGCTAAGTTCATGTATCACTTAGGAATTCTTAAGGTCTCAGATATGAGAAATTTGATCTATAAAAAATATGTATTTCAAACTCTAGGGATGTTTTCCATTGCTGAAAATCTTAATGCTTCAGAATCTTAAGTCACATTAGAATGAGCCAGTTCTATGAGTGCTCCCTCCTGCTCAATTAAAAACAAGTAGAAGCCAGGTGCAGTGGGTCACAGCTGTCATCTCAGCGACTGGGGAGGCTGTGGAAGGATTGCTCGAGCCCAGGAGTTTGAAGCCAGCGTGAGCAACATCTATGTTGTGCTAACAAAACTTAGCAGAGGATGGTGGCCTGTGCCTGTAGTCCCGGCTACTGAGAAGGCTGAGGCAGGAGGTTTGCTTGCTACAGTGAGCCGAGTTTGTACCACCACACTCTACCCTGGGTGACAGTGAGACCCTATCTGGGGGAAAAAAAAAGAACAAGTAAAGATCATTGCTCCATTTTAAAATGACAGCCTGTTTTGTGCAGGTCAGCTTCATTGTGAGATTTGGTAACTTTGGACCTAGATCTGTGTGATATTTCTCTTTCTTCTTTTCCTGGAAGTCTTTATAATTCAAATTTAGAATTGGATTCTTCAAGAGTGTGTGTGTTTTTTTTTTAATCTATAGAATTCTGGCAAATTGGTTGAAAGTAAAGTTCATGGGAGATGATGGCTCAATGGATGACATGTGCAGCGATGCTGGTGGGATTCAGACGCTTTCGCTTTTCAACTCGCTTAGCGGCAAAGGGGATCAGATGATTTCTGTAAACGTGTGTATAAAGGTGAATTATAATTACTTTGTGTTTACTTCTATGTTTTCATTACTTTCACTTACTCCAAGATATCATTGGAATCATGCAAATACTATTTATTCCCTAACATTTTGAAAGACTGTGGGAGGCTAAGAAGCAAGTATTATGTCTGTCATTTCTAGTGTCTTTTTAAAAATTATTTTTTTAAGCCAGTCAAATTTAGCAGTGGGTACTGCACCCAGCCTGCTTCTTTTTCTATTTTAATACTATATATTGAATTTCCTAAATGTAATCCGTATACAAAACTTTTAAAAAATGAGGAAATGTAAAAGAAGTGTAAAGATGATGATAACAGCCATCCATGCTCTTGCTGTTTTGAGGTGACAATAACTTCTTGGTGCACATTCTTCCCTTTTCCTATGATTACAAAGTCATATTTCATCTCCTGGAAATTAGTTTACTGTTCCTGTTACCTTCATTTTCATTTTTAATTAAAGTAATGCTTCCATGTACTTAAAAAGAAGTCAAATAACGCGACATGATTTAAAATGAGACATAGTAGCTCCTCCCTCCTCTCTACTCCTTTCTTCAGGGCCTCATTTTTCTCATGTTTCCAGATCACACACTTAACACAGCCGTTTCTCAGTTTATCCATTTCAGTGTTCTCTGCTGACTTCCCACTAATACAAATGTGTTAGTTACCTATTCCTAAATCACAAATTACCCCCAACATAGCAGCTTAAAATGACATCTGTTATCAAATTTCTGTGGGTCAGGAATCCAGGTGTAGCTTAACTTGGGTCCTCTGGCTCAAGGTTTCTCACAGGTGGGATTATGGTCTCATCTGAAAGCTTGATTGAAGGGTATCTACTTCCCAGCTCATTCTAGTGAGCTGGCATCAGGATTCACTTCTTGCAGGCTGTGGCCAGAGACTTCCTCACTTCCTGCCACATGGGCCTCTCCCCAGCTGACAGCATGGCAGCTGGCTTTCATCAGAGTGAGCAAGAGGCTAGCCAAGATGGAAGTCTGAGTGCCTTGATAACCTAAACTTAGAAGTGACATCTGTTCCTTTTGTTGGCTTCTGTCTGTTAGAAGTGAGTGGCTAGGCCCAGCTCACAGGGCAGGAGATCACACCTGGGCATGAACACTAGGTGGAGTTGGGGGGCCTTCTTGGCTGCTGCGTACCACACTAAGTGCAGAGTGGCCGCCTGTGCCATGATCCCACTCAGCCTTCCACGTCTTCCCAGGATGGCTACACTTTCACTTTGTGAGTCCACTCCAGTGAATGGGCTCTGTGACTCTAGTGTTCTTTGTATGACCACAATTATTTTTTCCTGCAAGAACTGGAGTTGCCTTATTGTCTCACTTAACATAGTTGTCTGTATCGATTTAATTTTTACTGGGCGGGGTGGGGGGTTGCTGTATATATCTCGGTAGACTTTTCCAAATGTTCTGTCACTTCCGTATTCTGATCTATCCATATTCCCTCTGTCCTGGAATGCTCATCTGTGAGCTGGTCTACATCCAGGCAGCATGTGCCTTCATGCCATCATTGCAAGCACATGTCCCTGCTCCTCCACCTGGAAGCTCTGTGACCTTGGGCAAGTTCTCTAACATCTCTGCCACCTATGTATGGATACTCTACTCATTGTCCTATTTTACTCAGCAAAGCCAAAAGAAATTGCCCAAGCCTGTGTAGGTGTTGTGTGCTGGAGATGCTCATCTGGCTCTTGAGGATGGAGTGAGTCTGCACATGCAGACTGCATAGGACAATGCCTGGCATAGGCCAGGTGCTTGCTCAGTGTTGCCATTAGCAGCAGCTGTGGTATTTTTTCTTGGTTCAGCCCCTTGTTGGATGGTACATGTCATGGGAGGGGAATTTTCTGAGTCCTTTCCCTTATATAAATGATTTATTATTATAATTTTTTTTCGAGACAAGAGTCTTGCTCTGTTGCCCAGGCTAGAGTGCAGGTGTGATCTTGGCTCACTGCCACTTCTGCCTCCTGGATTCAAGCGATTCTCCTGCCTCAGCCTCCTGAGTAGCTGGGACTATAGGTGTGTGCCACCACGCCCGGCTAATTTTTTGTATTTTTAGTAGAGACAGGGTTTCATTGTGTTAGCCAAAATGGTCTCGATCTCCTGACCTTGTGATCCGTCCACCTTGGCCTCCCGAAGTGCTGGGATTACAGGCGTGAGCCACTGCACCCAGCAGAAATGATTTTATTGACAAAATACCTTAGGCTGGGGGAAAGAAAAAAAGATTTATTTTATTCTCACATTTGCTTCATAGTTTAGCTACGTTTGTAAAATTACAGGTAGAAAATTACTTTCCTGGCTGTACATGTGGGTTACACCTGTAATCCCAGCACTCTGGGAAGCCAAGGTAAGCAGATTGTTTTGGGTACAGGAGTTTGAGACCAGCTTGGGCAATGTGGTGAATTGAAACCCTGTATAAAAAATAAAAAATTGGCCTGGCGCGGTGGCCCACGCCTGTAATCCCAGCACTCTGGGAGGCTGAGGTGGGTAGATCACGAGGTCAGGAGTTTGAGACCAGCCTGACCAACATGGTGAAACTCCCTGTCTACTAAAAATACAAAAATTAGCTGGGCGTGGTGGTGCGTGCTTATAGTCCCAGCTACTCAATTCTCCTGCTGAGGCAGGAGAATTGCTTGAACTCGGGAGGTGGAGGTTGCAGTGAGCTGAGATCGGGCCGTTGCAGTCCAGCCTAGGCAACAGAGCGAGACTCTGTCTCAAAAAACAAACAACAACAACAAAAAATCCCCAAAATTAGCTGTGCCTGTAGTTCTCGCAGCTTGGGAAGCTGAGGTGGGAAGGCTGCTTGAACCCGGGAGTTCGAGGCTACAGTGAGCCGTGATCGCACTGCTGCACTCCAGCCTTGATTACAGAGGGAGACCCTGTCTCAAAAAAAGAAGAAAATTATTTTCCTTTCAGTTTTGCTCCACTGTCACCCAGCATCCACTGTTGCTGTTGAGGTGGACTCTGAGACTGTTCCTGTTCCTTTCTGTGTGCCCTGGTTTTCTCTCTGTCCAGAAGCCTTTTTTCTCTGTTCATGGCATCCTAAAAATTCACTTTGTTATGCCTGGCACCGGACTTCCTTCACTCACTGTGCAGGGCTTAGCAGTCATGTTTTTATGACACTGACTTTATTTTTTCGAGATGGAGTCTCGCTCTTGTTGCCTAGGCTGGAGTGCAGTCGCGCAATTTTGGCTCACTGCAACCTCTACCTCCTGAGTTCAAGCGATTCTCCTGCCTCAGCTTCCCAAATAGCTGGGACTACAGGTGCACGCCACCATGCCTGGCTAATTTTTGTATTTTTAGTAGAGACGGGGTTTCACCATGTTGCCCAGGGTGGTCTTGATTTCCTGACCTCGTGGGATCTGCCTGCCTTGGCCTCCCAGAGTGCTGGGATTACAGGTGTGAGCCACCATGCCCAATCTCTATTTTCTTTTCTCTCTTGAGCCTCTGTTAGATAGATGTTAGATCTCATCATTCGATCCTTTGAGTTTCTTATCCTTTCTATCCTATTTTCAATCTTATCTCTTCCTACTGTGTTTTGGAAGATTTCCTTGACTTTGTTTTCCAGTTGTTTTACTGATTTTTTTCTTCCATATATATTATTTCCTCTTCTTATGTTGACTTTTTCATAGCATCTTATTTTTTGGATGCATCATATCTTTCCGAGGAAATTAGGGTTTTGGGGGTCTAAGTTTTCTTCGGTTCATGCATTATCTGGTTCCTTTTTTTCCCTCCCTCTTATGTTATTTTAGTTTATCTCTTTTATGTTGGAGGCCCTCCTCAGATGCCTTACCCAAGGCTGTCTGTCTATAACTGAGTGAGGCCCTACAAGGCTGGCCAAGAAGTTCTGTGTTTGGGGTGGGGTGGGAGGTAGCTAAATGGCAAGCCAGCCTTTTTGGAGGGACTCCCAAATGTCTGGATCTGAATATCTGTTCCCTAGACTGTTCAGTTTTTCTGGAAAGAACTTGTGCCTTCTGCTTCCTGGAGAGCTGCTGGTATTCTCAGGGTAGGGTCGGGAGTGGTTTGACACTGAGTCCCTTCCACTGTGCCTGATCACGCCCCTGCATCTGGATGCTCTCAGGACTCCTGTTCAGGGGCCCAGGGGGACTGGTTGTGCATAAGGTTGCCTGCAGTGGTGAGTGCCTATAGGGCCAGACTCTGAACTTCGCCTTTGGCTCCTGGTGTCTGCAGAGCCTGGATATACGGGGCTTTTGCAGGCTCAGTCATCCTGGCTCCCTCCACACCCACACCTGCAGCCTTTGGGTCTGGCTTCCTCTGCTTCCCTAACCCAGGGATTGGACTCATCTACTTGCTGCTTTCTAGAAGTGTATCAGAATCCCTGATCTGCTGCTGGCCTGCCTTCCCTCTTTATGTTATTATGGGCTTAAACTTTTGTTTATTTTTATAGAGATGGGGTCTTGCTATGTTGCCCAGGCTGGTCTTGAACTCCTGGCTCAAACAGTTCTCCTGCCTTGGCCTCCTTATGTGCTGGGATGACAGGCATGAGCCACTGTGTCTAGTTTTAACTGTTTTTATACCTGTTTCAGGTTAATTAAAATTTTAGTAATATAGTCAAACACAATTCTAGCTGGAGACTAAATTACCTGTTGAACTGGCCATTTCTTACACTAACTCTGTTGCATTAATTATGTTGTTTTTGTTTCTACGAATTTAAAACATGAACATGGGCAGGCACAGTGGCTCACGCCTGTAATCCCAACACTTTGGTAGGCCAAGGCGGGCTGATCACTTGAGGTCAGGTGTTCAAGGCCAGCCTGGCCAACATGGTGAAACCCCATCTCCATTAAAAATACAAAAATTAGGCCGGGCGCGGTGGCTCAAGCCTGTAATCCCAGCACTTTGGGAGGCCGAGGCGGGTGGATCACGAGGTCAAGAGATCGAGACCATCCTGGTCAACATGGTGAAACCCCGTCTCTACTAAAAATACAAAACATTAGCTGGGCATGGTGGCGCGTGCCTGTAATCCCAGCTACTCAGGAGGTTGAGGCAGGAGAATTGCCTGAACCCAGGAGGCGGAGGTTGCAGTGAGCCGAGATCGCGCCATTGCACTCCCAGCCTGGGTAACATGAGTGAAACTCCGTCTCAAAAAAAAAAAAAAATATACAAAAATTAGTTGGGCATGGTTGTGGGCACCTGTAGTTCCAGCTACTCGGGAGTCTGAGGCAGAATTGCTTGAATCGGGGAGGCAGAGGTTGCAGTGAGCTGAGATTATGCCACTGCAATCCAGCCTGGGCGACAGAGTGAGACATTGTCTCAAAAGAAAAAAAATATGAATATGTTTTCTATCTGAAGGTCAGATATAGAAATTATTCTTCTAGGGTGACTGTCCTCTGGATATATGAAGAAAGAATATTATTTGATATTTCTTTTAAAAAGGAAGTCTGAAGCTGGGCATACTGGCTCCTCAAACCTGTAATCTCAGCTACTCAGGAGGCTGAAGCAGGAGGACTGCTTGAGCGTAGGAGTTGAAGACCAGCCTGGGCAACATAAAAAGACCCCCTTCTCAAAAAAAAAAAAAAAAAAGGTTGGAGGGGTCTTTGCTAACAATTGGATTTAGGGAAAGAGGTGCCGGGAATGAAAATAACTACTACAGGAAGTAAGATAACTGTAGGGTATGCCCAGCTGTGCCCTTGGAAGCCTTTCTGGAGTGCAGTCAGTGTTTAGCGCATGGAGAGCTTTGGCTGCACTTGCCCTGGGGCAGATGAGTCACTTCTGATGTGTCCTGTGGTGCATCTATCCTGATGATCTTGATGCACTTGCAGGTGACCCATGGCGCCCTCAGTGATGGCGCCATTGATGCTGTGGAGACGCAGAAGGACCTCCTGGGAGCCAGTGGGCTCATGCTGCTGCTTCCCCCCAAAGTGAAGAGTGAGGACGTGGCAGAGGAGGACGTGTACTGGCTGTCGGCCTTGCTGCAGCTCAAGCAGCTCCTGCAGGCCAAGCCCTTCCAGCCTGCACTTCCGCTGGTGGTTCTTGTGCCCAGCTCAGGAGGGGACGCCGTTGAGAAGGAAGTAGAGGATGGTTTGTGAAGGAAGTCTTGTTTATGAACCAGCATTGTTTAATAAAGGGGTGGACGCTTGGTCTGAGGATGGTCCAGTAGTGTGGGGTCAGGAATCACTGAGACAGCAACCCTTATGGGACTGTCCACTGCAGGACTGGGGTGGGTCAGCACAGTGAGTTGTGTTAGCAGGTGTGCTGAGAGCAGAATGCGTGTGACCTTCATCTCTTTCTGTTAAAGGTCTGATGCTTCAGAACTTGGTTTCAGCTAAACTGATTTCAGATTACACTGTTACGGAGATCCCTGATTCCATTAATGATCTACAAGGTTCAACTAAGGTAAGCTTTCATCATTTTTAATGGTACGTCAGGGTATTTTGATTTTTCCCCTTTTGCTGTATCTTGAATTCAGTGTATATTAGCATTTGAGTTTTTTTTTTTTTCTTAAGACAGAGTTTTATTCTGTCACCCAGTGTGGCATGGTAGCTCCCTGCAGCCTCAAACTACTGGGCTCACGCAGTCTTCCCACTTCAGCCTCCCAAGTATATGGGACTACCGTGGTATGCCACTGCGCCTGGCAGCAGGTGTGGGTTTTATAGATAACTTTCTAAAAACATAAGCAGAAATCAAAAGATAAAATTTGACCAGTCCTGCTATCTGCAAATTAAATTGATCATGTAAAATTTTTTAGTGTTTTTGTTTCTATGAACTTAAAATATGAACATATCTTATATTTGAAGGTCAGATATAGAAATTATTTTTCTAGGTGATTGTCCTCTGAATATATTAAGAAATAATGTTATCTGATGTTTCCTTTGAAAAGGAAGTCTGAAGCTGGGCATGGTGTCTCGTCACACCTGTAATCTCAGCTGCTTGGGAGGTTGAAGCAAGAGGACTGCTTGAGCCCAAGAGTTGGAGACTAGCCTGGGCAACATAGGGAGACCCCCTTCTCAAAAGAAAAAAAGAAAGGCAGCGGGAGTTTTTGCTAACAATTTAGAGAAACAGGTGCCAGGAATTAAAAAAAACTACAGGAAGTAGATAACTATATGGTTTGACGGCATCTTGGCACATAGTGAAGCTGTTAGTCCTTCCAAAAATCAGAAGATGTGGCTTCCATTTCTGTGCATGGCAAAGGGGATATTCAGGGCTGGTTTCCTGAGGGCCTGGGCCCTTCCAGGGGGGCGAGCATGCAGGTCACATTCCTCCTCAGGCCAGATGGGATCCGGGGCCCTCTCATTAGTTCCTCTGCTGGACATGTCTCCAGAGCCCTAGAAGGCTAAACTCAACTGCAAAGGACACTTCTGTTCCCCTTTCTGCTGCAGTTGAGGGCCTGTTACTCTGGTGTTACCTGCTGTGGGCAGCCTTGGGGGACCAAGCTGTTTCAGAAAGCTGTTTTTGAAAAAACAGTGGGATGTTCAAGTCTCTTCTGAATGTCTTTGCTCTCAGGTTTTGCAAGCGGTGCAGTGGTTGGTTTCCCATTGCCCCCATTCCCTTGACCTTTGCTGCCAGACTCTCATTCAGTACGTCGAAGATGGGATTGGCCGTGAGTTTAGTGGCCGCTTTTTCCATGACAGAAGAGAGAGGCGACTGGGTGGCCTTCCTTCGCAGGAGCCTGGCGCCATCATTGAGCTGTTTAACAGTGTGCTGCAGTTCCTGGCTTCCGTGGTGTCCTCTGAACAGCTGTGTGACCTGTCCTGGCCTGTCACTGAGTTTGCTGAGTCGGGGGGCAGCCGGCTGCTTCCTCACCTGCACTGGAATGCCCCAGAGCACCTGGCCTGGCTGAAGCAGGCTGTGCTCGGGTTCCAGCTTCCGCAGATGGACCTTCCGCCCCTGGTGGGTAAGTGCTTGTGCTGGGAGGAGCGGTGAGTGGCTGCAGCTGAGCCTCAGGCTTCCTTCTCACTGTAGTGACCATCTGGCAGATGTTGGGCACCAGTGTGAGGGCTGCACATCCACCTCCACTGGGCACATGGGGTATCCCTACAGTGTGCTTGCCTGCACCTTCCTTTGGGTTCATGGGTCAGAACAAGCTGGGTTTTGTGAAGTGGGGGCTGTTGGCCTTTCCTGACCGACAGAACAGTCCATGGGAGTTCACTTGCCTCAGGAGGAAAGTGGCAGGTGGTACAACCCTGATCCTGTCCTGCCTGCCTCACATGGTCCCTCTTTTCAAAACAGACAAGCCAGGGGCAAAGAGCATGGGGACCATGTAGCCCTGTCCCCAAGCCACAGCCATGATACTCAGTGCCGATTTAATGTTACTTCTTTGTCAAAGAAGTCTTGTTCTGTGGCTCTGGCTGTGCCCCCGTTCCTGGCTGAGGTCTCTGAGCTGTTTTGACACAGATCCTGTAGGCCATCTGGCTGGCTCAAGTCCAGTGTGGCATGGGGCTGCTCCTTCCCATGCAGACACTGTCAGAAGGGAATGAGCTGCTTATTTGGCGCAAGTCATGGCATTAGCATAGACACTCACCTGTGGGCCTCAGGTGCCCTTCTAAATTGTGGGGTATGGTCTGTAGTACCTCTAACCCATGCTCATTGAAGGAATCCAAAGGGAAGTGAACCACTCACCACAAGCCCTTAGTGTTCTGACTAGGTTGGGGTTCACCAAAATAAGCTAAGACAACTTATACCAGATTTACCTGGGTGCTTGTTAAAATACAGATTCCTAGGCACAAGCAGAGTTCCTGGGTATGGTGTACCTTTGCTATCAACACTATTTAGGGGGACTGTCTGCAACCCTCACCTAAACCCTGGGAGCAAGCTGCTCTTCCCCTTAACAACTGTGGTTCTGCTGTGTTTAGAAAGCAGACTTCTCCACTTCACAGTTGCCTTCTCCTAAGAAAATAGAGTTAAAAATATTTTCATATACATTTTCCCGTGTACTTCGGCCAAACCTGTAACTAATGAGGCACTTTCTCCCCAGCCCCCTGGCTCCCCGTGTGCTCCATGGTTGCGCAGTACGCCTCTCAGATCCCCAGCTCATGCCAGACGCAGCCTGTCCTCCAGTCCCAGGTGGAGAACCTGCTCCGCAGAACCTACCGTAGGTGGAAGAGCAAGAGCCCCTCCGCAGTCCATGGGGCAGGCCCCTCCGTCATGGAGATCCCATGGGATGATCTCATCGCCTTGTGTATCAACCACAAGCTGAGAGACTGGACACCCCCCCGGCTTCCTGTTACATCAGGTAGTTAGACCTTGGTGCAGTGCGATCAGCACCTCACAAGACTTTCTGGTACAGTTTCTGCAAAGGAAGATGTTTACTTGATGTTGCTTCTTTTCTCTCGAATCCCTACCCTTCTTTTCTTTAGGACTTCCTCCTTCAAGTCAGTGACTTAGAAACATTGAAAACAAGCTAGGAAGGTTCCAATAGAGCCTGAACTCACCTCCCTGAAACAGGCTTCCTAGGCTGGCTCTTAGAGAGGATTCTGTGGCTTTTGAGTAGTCATTACTGGCCCTGTCAGTCTGGATGTCAGCCTGTCTGGACTTTGAGTGATGCATGGACACTGGGAGCCTATTTAATCAAAGTATGGAAGTCACATAATTGTGTGACTTTAATTAATCGAAGGACTTGCCCTTAAATCAGTGAATTTAAGCACATGCCAAATGGCCACCTGCTGCTCTTTATATGTTATTTTTACCTGGTTTTCTTTTTGTTTTTTGAGACAGGCTTGCTGTGTTGCCCAGACTGATCTCTATCTGTTTTTGTATTGTTTTCTCAGAGGCACTAAGTGAAGATGGTCAGATATGTGTATATTTTTTTAAAAACCATTTGAAAAAATATGATGTTCCTTTGTCCTGGGAACAAGCCAGATTGCAGACACAGAAGGAGCTACAGCTGACAGACGGACGGTGAGATTCATGTTCAGTATGTTTCTGTTGCTTGCTAAACTGTATTTTTCTTCCAAAGTACACAGAAATGAACATCCTACATGCCAAATCCAGTCTATTGTGAGCAGATTGTGTCAAACCCTCAAGGAACAGATCATTCCCATGCAGTAGAAACTCTTCTAGAGCAAAGTTAGAAGCATTTCACTTCATTTATTGGGCAAACCTGACCCTGAAATCAACGTAACCAGGAGAATACAGCTGACATTTCATCTCACTTCCAAATCTGGTTCCAAAGCACAGTACCTAAAAAGTTCACAAGTATGCTTTCTCCTAGGGTAAACAATAACAGTGAAAATTTATTAATGTAATTTGTTGCCATAATAGAAAAATAAGTGGCCATTGTAGCAGGTGTTGAAATACATTTCTTAAAACTTATACCCATTCCCAATAAAATTTCTTTACTTTGGGTAATTTCTTTAGCTTGGGTAAAAAAAAAAAGTCTTAACCTGATAAGGCTACCTAACATAAAACTACCAAAAGGTGGGGGGTGGGAACGTGCTTGTTGGTAGAACATTAGGAACACCAGAGTCAGAACCAGCCAGTTGTCCTGGCTACTATTCACTATTGTCTTGGAAATTCTGACCAGCACAGGGATGTGGGATATAGGCAAAAAAAAGCCTCATTCACAACATGTGTTTCTCAGGGCCTGCATGTGCAAAGGAAACCTGAGCCATTGAAGTTCAGACTGGGTTGCTTATAGGAGGATATGATGCTATGAAGATGTCAGTTCTGGTATTGATAAGTTCTAAAATTCATCAGGATAAGAAAATATTCAGCAATTGCTAAGAAAGTTTTAAATAAGCCTAACAAGGTTTGCTTGGCCTGATAACCAAAACATACAGAAAAAGCTCCAGTACTTAAAAGTACATGGGGAAGCCAGAATAGATGAATGGATCAGAATAAAGAGTCAAGAAATAGAACCATATGTGACGAAAGTGTTATGCCAAATTATTGAAATTAGTGGGGAAAGGACAAACACTGGCATATATTTAGAGAAAAACGTTAGATGCCTTCTCTCATCATTTGTAAAATTACTTCCAAAGCTAAATATAAAAAATAAGGACCTTGCCAATATTAGGGAAAAACAGAATCTGGAACCCTGGGGTGGGAAGGAAGACATGAAGCAGAGAAGCTCCAAAAGCTGCCTTGTGAGAGCAGAAGCTTCCAAGAGGAACAGGCAGTCTCGATGCCTCTGTGCATGAGGGTCACTACGATGCAGGGGCTGCCTTCCCTCTTTGCCCTACTCCCTGACTTGAGGGAAGCTTGGAAGCAGGCCAGGCCAGCATGAGCTGTCCCAGGAGGGCACGTGTCTGAGGCACATGTTCTTACATGTTAACGCACATGTGCAATTGTATCTATATGCTTTACGTGATGCTGTAGAAGTATTTTCTCTTGACCATACGCATTTCAAATCATGTACTTACAGTTTGGGAATAAAGACTTTTCATGCTTCTGCAAACAATTTTCCCATACCATTGCTTCACATGGACGATAACTGGAAGAGGAGCACAGAGTGTGGTCGAGAGGGGAGGATTCCCAGCACAGAGGATCTGATGCGAGGAGCTTCTGCTGAGGAGCGGCTGACACAGTGTTTGTCAAGCAGTCTGCTGCTGGAGAAAGAGGAGAACAAGAGGTGAAGTCCACTTCCTTTGAATTCACGTGTATTGTTTAGTCCACTTTATGCTGCAAGGGGAGACTGGCTATTGCTTGATTGATGATACAAGACAACCAGGATGGGGAAGGGCAGGTGGCTTATTAGCAACAGTTGTAGTGGTGTGACTGTTTAAAAGCTCTTTGAAAACAGAAGCAGTACCATAGATAGTATGTTTTTAACTGTTTTATATTGAAGTGAATTTCATTTATTATTTATTATTGAAAGTCAGTGTTAAGTTTTTGTGGGAAATTCATGTGGCTAAGTCTACTCAGAAGATGGTGAGTGCTGAACAGTATGGCTGGCCACAGGCACCCTGCCCTTGGGTGGATCGTCCCATGCTGTGACTAGGCAGCAGCTGGGCTGCCCCTCTCTGCATTGCCCACATCCCTCCCCCTCCCATGCATACCTTTGCTTTCATCTGATGGCCATGTTTACCATTTTACTGGGAAGTAGAACCAGGAACGAGGGACCTTCCACAGGTTATCCTCTGCCTTCCTTTCCCTCCCAGCCACATCCAGCATCTTCCCTGTACCCCCTTCCTAAGCCCTCTTGTTGCTAGAAAGGAACCATCAGCACTTAGTCAAAATTAGTCCTTCCCTGGGCTGGGATATCATCTCCTGCTCACCCAAGGACATTCATTCCATGAGATCCCTCTTGTGTTACCATCCCTCCCCATACTAATGGTACCCATCAGCAATACACAGGCATGAAACATGCCGGCATTTCTCCCTATTTTGGGCCCATTTCCCTCTTCAGCCACCACTCCATGTTTCTGCCCTTACAATAGTAAAACTCAAAAACGCTTGTGACACTCACTTCTTCAGGCTTCTTTCCCAGTCTCCTGCAGCCAGCTCAGGGCTGAACGTGACCGTGAACTCCAGTCCCTGGCAGCATCCCATACTTGATCCTCCCCTCCTTGCTCCTAAGATGTCTGTATGCCCCCTCCTACCCTGCTGGTTCCTCCTTATCCCACAGCTGCCCCCTGGATTCATTCTCTCAACTTCTCCTCTGCATCATCTGTACCTATTCCTCAGAGATTTCATCCAGGTCCATGGATTTTTAAATAACATCAATATTCTGACAACTCCAAATTTCTGTCTCAAACCTGTGAACTCCAGACTTGAACATCCTACTGCTTCTTTGAAATGTTCATTAGACATCTACTGGATGTCTGGTAGCCACTGCAAAGTTAACATATCCCAAATCCAGTTCCTGACTTTCTTCTAACCAACCCCTTCCTTTGGTGGTCATCTCTGTTGATGGCGGCTCCATCCTTCCAGCTGTCTAGATCAGGTGCCTTGGAATCATCCTCTCACATCATCCCACTCACATATCCTATTGGCTCTATTAAAAATGTGTTCACAATTGGACCAGTTGTTATGGCTTCCATGGCTACCACTTGGCTCAAGCCACTATTATCTTCGTTCTGGATTATTATAGTAGGCTGTAGTTTAGTCTTGGTAGACCTGGTGGGTGCCTTTCAGGTGAGTTAAGGTGGAGGTTGTGTCACTTGCTTGCTCACAGCCTCTCAGTGGTTTCCTTCTTTCACCTGGAATCAAAGGCAGATTTTACAAGTGTGGCCAGGGCCCTGAGTGATCTGTCCCACATTTCCTCTCTGACCTCTGCTCCATCCTTGAACATGGTGAGCAGCACACAGTTGGTCCTTTGAGTTTGCTGTTCCTTTTGTCTGTGGTTATCCAGCCCCTCCATTCTCCCCAGCATCCTCATGGCTGATCTCATACGCACTTCAGATCTCTGCTCAAATGTCTGCTTCTATTAGTCCCTCCTTGCCCATCCCCGACCTTCCTGTTTCCATGGCCTGCCTTTGTCTTTCTCTTCCCCAGACCAGTTCTCTTGTTATGTGTTCCTTGTCTGTCTCCCCTCACTAAAGGATAAATTGCTTAGGGCAGGGCTTCTCTTTTGTTTCAGTGCAATATTCCTTGTACCTAGGATGATGCCTAGCATTTGGAGGAGGCTTGATAAATATGTGTTGAAAGAATGAATGAATGTCCAATTTCTAGAAACAGTGTCTATAAGTGGTTTTGGATGACATCTTTTCTTTCTTTCTTTCTTTCTTTTTTAATTAGAGTCTTGCTCTGTTGCCCAGGCTAGAGTGCAGTGGCATAATCTCGGCTTACTACAACCTCCGCCTCCCAGGTTCAAGTGATTCTCCTGCCTCAGCCTCCCAAGTAGCTGGGACTACAGGTGCCTGCTACCATAATTTTTGTATTTTTAGTAGAGATGGGGTTTCACCATGTTGGCCAGGCTGGTCTTGAACTCCTGATCCACACGCCTCAGCTTCCTAAAGTGCTGGGATTATAGGCATGAGCCACTGTACCTGGCCAAGATTATTTTTCTTGAAAAGACCGGTATATGAAAGTAGACAGCTCTGGAGTATGTTAGGTGGCAGTGGGATATTATTTTGAGTTAATTGTAACCTATAAGCAGCAATCCACACATTTGGAAAATGTCAGAAGAATTACAGATGCATAAAACCAAGTAAATAAAGAAGATAGGCCAAACAAGACAATTAAAAATAATGTTAAGTAACACACAGAAGCAGTTGTTTTTGGATTAACGCCACCATTTTCATTAAATATAAATTGGATTTATAAATTAAAGGGAAGTTTTTTGTTTTTTTGAGATGGAGTTTTGCTCTCATTGCCCTGGCTGGAGTGCAATGGTGTAGTTTTGGTTCACTGCAACCTCCGGCTCCCATGTTCAAGCAATTCTCCTGCCTCAGCCTCCTGAGTAGCTGGGATTACAGGGACCTGCCATCACACCCGGCTAATTTTTGTATTTTTAGTATAGATGGGGCTTCACCATGTTGGTCAGGCTGGTTTCAAACTCCTGACCTCAGGTGATCTGCCTGCCTTGGCTTCCCAATGTGCTGAGATTACAGGCGTGAGCCATTGCGCCCAGCCTAGTTCTTTTTTTAAATTAAACTTTATCATAGGAAGTTATTAAATTTTCAATAAGTACATTTCTACTCCTCAGTTGATGTCATCTCTTACATTTTTAGTAAAAAGCAAAGGCTTAAGGCTGGGTGTGGTGGCTCATGCCTATAATCCCAGCACTTTGGGAGACTGAGGTGGGCAGGTGGCTCATGCCTCTGATCCCAGCACTTGGGAGGTCTAGGTGGGCAGATCACTTGACCACAGGAGTTGGAGACCAGCCTGGCAACACAGCAAAACCCGGTCTCCACAAAAATTAGCTGGGTGTGGTGGTATCCACCTGTAGTCCCAACTACTTGGGGGGCTGAGGTGGAAAGATCATTTGAACTTGGGAGGTCAAGGTTGCAGTAAGCCAAGATCGTGACACTGCATTCCAGCCTGGACAACAGAGCAAGACCTTTTCAAAAATAATAATAATAAAATTGGCTGGGCACAGTGGCTCACGCCTATAATCCCAGCACTTTGGAAGGCTGAGGTGGACAGATCACCTGAGGTCAGGAGTTCAAGACCAGCTTGGGCAATATGGTAAAACCCTATCTCTACTAAAAGTACAAAAAATTAGCTGGGCATGGCAGGATGTGCCTGTAATCCCAGTTACTCAGGAGGCTGAGGCAGGACAATCACTTGAACCCGGGAGGCAGAGGTTGCATGGACCCGATATCACCCCACTGCACTCCAGCCTGGGCAACAAAGTGAGACTCCGGCTGAAAAAATAAATTAATTAATAAATTAATAAAATTAAATTAAAAAGCAGAGGCTCAAAAAGTTTTTAAGTATATATAGAAGATTAATGAACAATTGTTAACTTCCTAATGCTCAAATATTTTTAAATTTATGATCATATATTGTTTCAGGTTTGAAGATCAACTTCAGCAATGGTTGTCTGAAGACTCAGGAGCATTTACGGATTTAACTTCCCTTCCCCTGTATCTTCCTCAGACTCTAGTGTCTGTTTCTCACAATATTGAACCTGTGATGAAAACATCTATAACTACTAGCCCACAGGTGAGAAGAAAGTATACGTTTGTCATTTATGTAAGAATTAAAGATTGAGAGAATGGCTGGGAAAAGTTTATCCTATGATGTTGTGATGACCAACAAATTATTAGCTAAAATTAGACCTTTTCTTAAACTTTAATCATATCATTGTTACAGAAAGCCAAGTGATTTTGAGTTTCTGCCTATGAAATAAATGAATAGAACTGAAATATTCTTAAGAACTGAGTAAGACCTGTAATTGCTGATGTATAGTTAAGACCATTAAGGTGACAGCAGCTTCTGTCAGAGCAAATTTTGTCTGAGCTTTGGGTTTACCCAGAGCTCCCTTCTGAGATTAATTTTTCTATTTTCTTTTCTTTTCTTTTTTTATTTTTTTTTGAGATGGAGTTTTGCTCTTATTGCCCAGGCTGGAATGCAATGGTGCGACCTCTGCTCACGCAACCTCCACCTCCCGGGTTTAAGTGATTCTCCTGCCTTAGCCTCCTGAGTAGCTGGGATTACAGGCATGTGCCACCACGCCTGGCTTATTTTGTATTTTTAGTAGACGCAGGGTTTCTCCATGTTGGTCAGGCTGGTCTCGAACTCTCAACCTCAGGTGATCTGCCCACCTTGGCCTCCCAAAGTGCTGGGATTATAGGCATGAGCCACGGTGCCCGGCCAATCTGGGATTAATTTTTCTTGAGGAAAATTAATGAATGAGGAAGGTAAGCTCCCAGAAGTCAATGCCTCACCCAAGGGTATTCCAGTAGTGAGTCGGGGGGTTGCTTTTCATAGCCAGATCCAACTGGCTCCAAACCCTAAGGTCTTTTTACCTTACCATTCTTCCTTCAGTAGTTAAAGATGCAAAAACAGAGTTTTAATCACAGATATGTGCCACTGGACAGGTAAAAACTGTGCTCCTGGACTGGTTTTAGGAAGCCCTTCAATGGGGGGGGAAAGCAAATTAAAATGACATACTGTTTTCATTTATCAGTTTGGCAAATATTTTAAAAATATTCATACCCTTTGAATTACCAATTCTGACCTAAAGAAATTAGCAGATATTCACTGAAACTAATGTATAAAATAATGTTTAGTATTAGTTATACTGTACAAAAGTAGAAACAGACTAAATATCTGAAGATGGGAGTCTGATTAAACAATTATAATACATTCATGCGATGGAATACTTCACAGCCCTTGACAATGATATTTTCTAAAAATGACTGGCTGGGTGTGGTGGCTCATGCCTGTAATCCCAGCACTTTGGGAGGCTGAGAAGGGAGGATCAGTTGAGCCCAGGAGTTTGAGTCCAGCCTGGGCAACATAAAGAGATCTCATCTTTACAATAAGTCATTAGCCAGGCATAGTGCTGCATGCCTGTTGTCCCAGCTACTCAGGAGGCTGAGCTGGGAGGATCACTTGAACCCAGGAGTTTGAGGCTGCAGTGAGCTATGATTATACCACTGCATTCCAGCCTGGGTGAAAGATGACTGACACTGGAAATCGTTCATGATAGAATACAAAGGCAAACAGTCTATTCGCAGATACCAGCTGACTGTACAAGCTAAATGAGGCTGGAAGGATGTACAATTGATCATTTTTTTCCCCTCTAAAAAATAAATGACTAATCAGATGAGGTTTCTAACATGATCCAGATCTACTCCCTTCACAGAGAATAGGTCGTGGTTTATTGACATCCCAAAACTCTTTTAGTTTCTTTTTTATTCAAATAGAATGACATGACAAGGGAGCAACTGCAGCTGTCAGAGGTGACAGGAACATGTCTGACCGAACAGCTAAAGCACCTGGAAAGGCTGATCCAGAGTTCAAGGGAAGAGGAAGTTGCCTCTGAGCTCCATCTCTCAGCATTGCTAGATATGGTGGACATTTGAGCAGCCTGACTTGTGGGGAGGGGGGGGTCTCTCCAGAAGAGTTGGTTTTTACTCAAAATAATGTTATTCTCAGATGCTCGATGCACTGTTGGAAGTGTGATTATTAATCATGCAAATAAACCATTTAAATGTCAAAGTCTCCCAGTTTTTCATAATGAAAAGTTGTTTACCTTGTGGGACATCTTCAATATTCTATTATTTTCATGACCTCGGCAGACTGTCACCCACCAGCATATGCTCTGAGGCAGTTTGGAGCTTACGTTTCCATGTTAAACAGGCGATTCATTCTCTCAGCAAACTTGCAGTCCTTGATGTGTCAGACATCAGTGATGCAGAGATGAAGTAAGGCACAGGGCCTCTGCCTGCTAGGCTCACCCAGGTTACGTCCAGGAGAGTCAGCAGGTGTATCTGTACATAACTCTCGGAGAATGTACACAAGGCATGGGCCTGAACCGGTAGCAGGAAGAAAACAGGATGGAACAGGGTCTGGTTGGGTAGAGGAGAAAGCAGGATTCCTAGAGAGGAGTGCAGGGGTGTGGCTGGGAACAGTGTACTTGAGAAGAGGACATGATGAAAGCTTGGAGGTACCAGTTTGGTTGTGTGGTCAAGTGAGGGGGAACAGGCCAACAGGGTGAGATCGGAGACTGTTGTTGCCTTATTCTAAGCGCTGTGAACCAGCTGTTGAATATTAGGCAGAGAAAAATGGCATTTGGGGCAGCAATCTTGAGAGGTGGGTGCTGCAGCCATCCAGGTGAAATTCAAAGGGAATAAGCCTGAGTTTGCTAGCAATTGGTGTGAAGAGGGGTTAAATTTGAGCCATATACAGAAAGAAGTATTAATAGACTTGGTGACGTTGAATATGACCACCAATCTTAAACTGGCACTCAGCATCTCCTGACTGTAATTCTACATCCCCAGACTCAATTTCATGTCTTCTCATTCTCTTCAAACCACCAGCATTTAGATCATGTCCTTATTTCACTGAAAAAACAATAGCACTAAGAAGAGAACCTCCTCCACTCCACCAAATCCACCATCCAATCCCTGCTTCCCCAAACACACATTACTCAACTCAGGGATCTTCAGTGATCAACTTCATATATAAACTTAAATAATGCTATTTCTTAATCTTGACTTTAGAGATGGTTGACTTCCTACAATGGAAGGAGTTAGCTTCTCTTAATTGTCTTTTCTGCAACATGTAATCACCCCCACCCTCGACACCCACATTTCCTCTATTAGTCTCCCTAAAGAGTTTAATATAATATTGGCTGAAATCTGCATTCACAGTTTAGTATAACTGTTTACCATTTCCTGATGAGCCCTTTATTAGTTTATGATTGATTACATTTCCTTTAGGTATAATTGTTGATTTTTCCTAGAGTTAATAAGTGAATTTTTCATTTTCTTGGTTATCTATGCTCCTGTCACTACTTCACCCAAAAGTCACTTCCCTAAGTGTAAAGCTCTTCCCAACAAAGTCATGTGCATCAGGCAGTATGCTCCACTTTCTCTTAGAATTGATCCTCTGGGAACCCTGTCTTCCTGCCATAGCTTGGACATTTCCTGGATTCTGGATAATATTTTCCTCTTCCTTGGTTTTCTCTTGATAAAGCCTGTCCTTTAGTAGCCTTCTGAGCTTGAATATCTAAAATGTCTTTATTTCTACTGTACTATTATCAAATATATATTTGGTCTTTGCCTCTGCTTTCTGATATGCAACTCCTAAAATCCTTGGAATCTCCAAAATGTCTTTTTATATGCTAGTAAGATGACTGACTGATGGCTGGCAGCACCTATGTAGTTTCAGGATAGGGATTGGTCATCTGAAAGACCAGAGCATGACATAGAGGAGTTGGAACTTTCAGCCTACCCCCTCAAACTCTCCGAGGTTGGGGGAGAGGGACTGAAAGTGACATTGATCACCAATGGCCAATGATGTAATCCATCATGACTATGTGATGAAGCCTCCTAAAAACCCAAAAGGACAGAGTTCAGAGAGCTTGTGGATAGTCAGATGTGTGGGGACTTCCAGAAAGGTGGACAAGAACATGTCCACATGGCGGGAGAATGGCACACCCCAACTCCTTGCAGACAGAAGCTCCTGCTCTTGGGCCCCTTCGACTTCACCCTGTGTATCTTTTCATCTGGCTGTTTATTTGTAGCCTTTATCCTCTGTAATAAACATGTGTTTCCCTGAGTTCTGTGAACTGCTTTAGCAAATTAAAGCCAAGGAAGGGGTCACGGGAACTCAGAAGGACAGGTAAAACAACCCGGGGCTTGTGACTGACACTGGATATGGGCCTTGTGGGACGAAGTCCTCAACTTGTGTGATCTGCCACTATCTCCAGATACATGGTGCAGGATTGAAGCAGATACCCAGCTGGTGTCTGCTGTAGAACTGATTGCTTGCTTGCTGGTGGAAAGAAATCCTTTACATCTGGTGTCAAAAGCATGTTGTGAGAGTAAAGAAATGGGTTTTCTTTTTTTTTGACTTATGTTCAATTCATCATTTGAATGGGAATAGAATTTTAGATTGGAAATCATTCCCTTGTGTTTTTGCTTTTTTGTTGCCAGAAATCCTTGAGATTACCTCTATTCCTGGTGGTCTCAAATTTCTCAACGACATTACTGGATATGTTGCCTCCCCACACCCTCACCAACCCCTGCCCAATTTATTGTGGTACTTTGTAGTCCTTTTTTCTAGTTTTTACTGCCATTGAACAAATTATCCCAAATATAGTAGCTTAAATTTGTGGAGGATTCAGCTGGGCAGCTTTCTCTTGGGATCTCTCAGGCAACTGCAGTCAGGTATTGGCCTGAGGTTAGTCATCTGAAGGCTTGACTGGACCAGCTGATCACTTGAATGGCTGGAGGTAATGTTGCACTGTTTTCCTCAAATGTCTGGCTCATGCTGATGATGGGCTCTAAGGAGCTTGCTGGAAACTGTGTCAATGGGTACACAGCCTGACCGCTAATAGGTTTCTGTTTTGCTACTGGGTCATAGTTGCCAGTGTTTGCAGGATGTTTCTTGTGGACCAGCTGCTCCAGAGGAATCCTTCCACTCCTATCTCATGTTATCTGGCTGAGTGGGAGAAGTGAGCCTAGACACACATGTGTAGACTTTTACTCAATCCCTCTGCTTTCAGTAGCCCTCAGCTATGCCTCATGCCTGAGGTCACACCTACTCTGATTCAACTGCAGGCTTCCTCCACCCAAGTAGGAGAGGGGAATCTATGGTCACATTGTTCCTTACAAAAATTTTCCACCAGTTACTCCAATTTCTACACCTTCCTGGTGTTCGCTGGCAGGACTGGTCTCTTTCTTCTTGACTTCACCCACAAATGTTAAGTTTCAACTTTGTCTGGCTAAGTCAGTTATAACTTCTTCATCCATTCCCTGCCTCTGTAATTTTGTTGACTTCACTTGCTTACTGGTGTCTCTTCTCTCATTCTTTGTGGATTTTTATGTCTTTTATTACTTACTTAAGTGAGTAGGGGCAGGAAGAAGTTAATGCCTATGCTCATTCTGCCATGTTTAACTGAAAATTTCTTTTAAAACTCTGCCATTAGAGTTTTCTCCCCATGTCTCCTGAGACAGCTCTTGTCAGTCACCAGTACATTGCTTTGTTACATCCAATAATACATTCAGTCTTCATTTTGCAATCCCTTCAAAGCCTCAGCAAAGATCACCATATCTTCACTTATTTTATGACTGCATATTCTTCTGGTTTTCCTTCTCTCTGTGGCCACTCCTCTATACTGCAAAAGGTTGGTGACCCAGGGCTCCTGCTGGAATTCTCTTTTTTGTATGTGCATTTCCTAGTTGATCTTGTCCAATCTCATGATTTCAAACACTACCTGAAAGCAGATGACTCCCAAATTCCTGCCTCTAGCATTATCTTCTCTCCTGAATGCCAGCCTACTCAGTATTTCACTTGAATATCTAATAAGCATCTCTAGTATAACTTGTCCCCACTTAAGCTAAACTTTCCAATCAAACTTTCCCTATTTTAGGCCAGATGTGGTGGCTCATGCCTATAATCCCAACACTTTGGAAGGCTAAAGTGGGAGGACTGCTTGCAGCCAGGAGTTTGAGACCATCCTGGACAATGTAGTAAGACCCATGTCTCTAACAAACTTAAAAATTAGCCAGGTGTGGTGGCACAGGCCTGTAGTCCTAGCTGTTCAGGAGGCTGAGCCCAGAGGATCACTTAAGCCCTGGAGTTTGAGGCTGCAGTGAGCTAATGATTGTGCCACTGCATCCCTACCTGGGTGACAGGCTGAGATCCTCTCTCTAAATAAGTAAAAGACACCTTCTCTATTTTAGTAAATGACCACCACCATATCCCAATTGTTCAGACCAAAATCCTCAGAACCTTAGAATCTGGCTCAATAAACAAGCTGGATGTGGCAGTATGTAAGCGGAGAGAAACATTGTTTTTTCTCGTGACTGCCCCTAGAAGCTTACCTGTGTCAATTCTCAGATGTATTTTACAGTTTTTTCTTTTAAATATTAAAAATGTGGGTTATTTTGCTCATAAAAAAGTCCAGTCCACTAAAATATCAAAACTAAAACTCTTTTCCAATTGAAACCTCTTCCCTTTCCTAGCTTTGCCAGATTCAGAGTCTGAGATTCCATGCAGGCTGAAGCCCCTTATTTCTACTCTTCATGTTTCTACATGGAGGGATTTACCTGTAGAAAAACTTCCAGTCTCTTTCTGCTTCCAGAGAAGTGGAGTGACTCAATTGGTTGAATTTCAGAGAACAGAGTGTGCTCAGGCTCCTCTGGGTATTCTTTCTGGGGTCTGTGGCTTGACTGGGGCGGGGGGCCGAGGTGTCTTCTAGTCGGCCCTCAATTGTGTAGAGCTTGATGAGGCAGAGGCTAGGGGATGTTTTTCTGATTCAGGGGAGATTTCGTAGCTTGCGCTCTTGCTTGCAGATTTAAGCTCTGTCCTTCAAACTAGCTTTTACTTGCGGCGAGGTTGATATTCTGATACCCACCCATCTTATTGCTGTGTCTTTTTCATTTGTTTCTGAACTGGGATAGGAAGAGTTGAGTATCCTCGATTGTGTAAAACCCCGCTAGTCCACTGGGGGAAGGTGCCTCTGGGTGGTTTTTCTTTTGTCCACTCTCCCTTCAACTTTCGGGTAGGAATTCAGAGGTGGGTGCAGAAACGCTCATTAGGCTGGAGCAGTAGTAACTGGATGTTGGGGATTCTACGGGGCAGATGAAGACGTGCTGGGGTCTTCTGTGGGTCCTGGGCCCGACTTAGGGACCACGGCTGCAGCCTCCAGGCGTCAGCCATGTTTCCAGCAGTCAGGCGCCCCCTGCCCTGCCGCGCCCGGCTGTCCCTTCCAAGCTCGGTCACCTCCTTCTGCTGCTAATGTTTTCACCTTCAGTTTCTCCTGGGGTCCCCCGAACTCCAGCGACCCCGTGAACTCTCCCGCGCTTGGCCCTGGCCCTTCCCCGCCCGGGGCTCCAGGGCTTCTGGCCCCTGTGGTCCGCCAGGCCTGGGGGCTTCGGCCTCACCACGACGAACACCCCGCGCCGGGCGAAGGCTGCGCCGGTCTCAGCCTCCCAGGGACGCCCGGCGGCGCCCTCCGCTCCTCCGCTCCTCCGCGCCCTCCCGCTGGCCTCGCCCTGGCGCTTCCTGCCCGCGCCCACCTCACCTCAGGGCGGCCTCCCGCCCCCACCCCCACCCCTCGCCCTGGCGTCCCGGCAAATCCTGCAGCGCAAGAGCGATTCCCCGCCACCTGACCTTCGCACCGTCCCTCGCTCGAGCCTCGCTCCCCACATCGTCCTTCCTTCTGACCTCCGGCGGGACCCTCCCGACCGGACCCTCGGAGAGCCCCTCACCTCAGAGCGCCGCGCGCCGCGCTAAGCTCCGGGACGCCAGCCTCCTGCGGGCGCGTGCGAGGCCCCGCCCCACGCCAGTCCCACCACCGGCCCCGCCCCCACGCCCCACCCACCAGCCCTGCCCCTCAGTTCCCGCCAACCAGGCCCCACTCACCTCCCCCCGCCGCCTCCCGCCGGTCCCACACCGGCCCCGCCCCCACGCCTCACCCACCAGCCCTGCCCCTCAGGCCCCGCCCCACTCCGCGTGGGGCGCCGCGCGCTCAGCCACTGTGATGGCCCGGGACACCCCGGGCGCACGCTCCCGGTGCTCTGATTGGTTGCGCGGACATCGGCCCACCTGGGCCTGCGCGTCGGCCGAGGCCGGCGCCTGCGCAGTACGCGTGAGGGAGGCGGGGCTGGGCGGCCAGTCAGGGAGCGGGCGGCCAGTCAGGGAGCGGGCGGCCAGTCAGGGAGCGGGCGGCCAGTCAGGGAGCGGGCGGCCAGTCAGGGAGCGGGCGGCGGGCGGCTTGCGGCTTGGAGCTCTGCCGAGGCGATGACGGACGGCACGTGAGTCCCCTCGCCCCGGGCCCCTGGCGAATGCGGGGTGGTCCTGGGTGCTGAGGAGAGCGCGCCGCGGGCAGCGGGCCGGCGGCCGGGGGGGCGGGGCCGGGGTCGCTGACGGCCCGTGGCACGCAGGTGTCTGAGGCGCCGTGGGGGCCCCTACAAGACCGAGCCAGCCACTGACCTCGGGCGCTGGCGGCTCAGCTGCGAGACGGGCCGGCAGACGTGGACCTACCTGCAGGACGAGCGCGCCGGCCGCGAGCAGACCGGCCTGGAAGCCCACGCCCTGGGGCTGGACACCGTAAGTGGCTTCCGCGGAGCGTCCGCGAGCGCTGGGACCCCGCGGGGCGCTGAGCGCGGAGCCGCGAGGAGGTTTCCCTCGGGAGGGCGGGTGGTGCGAGCGCCCCGGGGAACTGCGTCCGCGGCCCCTGCGCCTCAGCCCCTTCGTCTCCAGGACACGCACAGGACGCTGCTGATTTTGTTTTATTTTTTAGCATCTTATTTCGAGATAATTTCTGACTTACACACACAGTTGTAACTTTTTTTTTTTTTTTAAGACGGGGTTTCACCATGTTGGTCAGGTTGGTCTTGAACTCCCGACCTCAGGTGATCCGCCCGCCTTGGCCTCCAAAGTGTTTGGATTACAGGCGTGAGCCACCGCACCCGGCCGTAACTTTGTTTTTATGCACAAAAAGTTTTTGGACCTAGTGTCTTAGTTGTGTGCATTGTACGTGATTTGGCTGGTCGGAGTCTGCAGTGTAAACAGGGTCTCCGCCAAGCCCTGGCCACCGTGGGAAAGGCTGTGCCATCCTTTGGGCCCTTTCTGAGAGGCCCGAGTCCAGGACCCGGGGGGCATCCGTGCCCCGCCCCACCCTTTGGTGCCTGGTTTATGCAAGACATCTTGGAGAAGTTGTGAAGAATCTGTGACTGGAAAGTAAAGCAATGAAAATGTGGAACTGTCCTTTTACTTTGCTGAGGTGTGATACTCTCATCAAAGAGTTTCATACTTTTGATGGAAACAGCTGAAACTTTTACAGTAATTTAGATTCACTATTTTGACTTGGGCTGTGTGTGAGGAGGGTGCCTCTGGCCGGGCAACAAGACCCTCAGCTTGCTGGATCTCTCTCTTTTTTTTTTTTTGGTCTCTTTACAGAAGAATTACTTTAAGGACTTGCCAAAAGCCCACACCGCCTGCGAGGGCGCTCTGAACGGGATGACATTTTACATGGGGCTGCAGGCTGAGGATGGGCACTGGACGGGTGATTACGGTGGTCCACTTTTCCTCCTGCCAGGTAGGAGTGTGCTGCCCCAGCCTGAGGGTATGGCCTCCCTGGGTAATCCTTGGGATCCTAGCCCAGCCTGGTCTAGGGTTTTGATGAAGAGGTGAAAATCCAGGAGCTTGCATAGGAAAGGACTAGCAAACTCTGCCCTGTGTCAAAGTCGACCTGCTATCCGTGCTGGGGGATCAGTTAGCCTTGGCAATGTAGGATGACAGGCCCTCTGATGAGGGAAGCAAGTGGTTCTCTAGGGGTCTGTTGCCTTGAGGGAGGAGGAAGGTGGACTTTGAAGTCTACGCACAGAGTGGGATGGGCATTCCAGGTGGAAGGCCCAGCCTATGCCAAGGGGCTGTAGGTGGGCACAGTGGTGGGCGGGAAGCTGATAACTGCGGTGAACTTATCCTGAGCTATTGCAGGGGAGCGCATGCAGGGGAGCTTCAGGTTCAGGCCAGTGAGTAGGAGGAGGATAGCAATTGGATTGCCTGGGTGCTGAACTGGTTTGGCTACACGAGACTATCTTGCATCCTAGGAGTGTTTCTTCACAGAAATCCTCAGCCTTGTAAAATGGGAAATCCCCTATGCAATAGGACCTTTTCCCTAGTGACTTGTAATAACATTGTTTCACTGATGTGAATTCCTACATAAATAGGGTTTCTTTTTGGTGATAACTCTTAGTGATATGTTGTTTTCTTTTACTATGCTGTTAGTTATAACTTTGTAGTCGATTTAAAGTCCTTATATACCTTTGTTGCCTTTCTTTTTAAAACATCTCTTAGCTGTGTCTATCCATTTAACTCATCCAAATTGCCTTTATCCTGATTCTGTCCCAGAATAAAACCTGTTGGGACTTTGAATGAAGTTGCATCAGGCTTATGTGTTAGTTTGGGAGGAGTTGGCCTTTAATGTTAAAAATGGTTCCATGGTGTTTACTGCAGTCCAAGCCCTCCTCAAGGCCTGCTCTTCTTTTAGTCCTTAAATAAGCATAATGGGATCCATTAGGAAGCCGAGGCATATTTATTCCGGGCCACCAGACTAGCAGGGCGAGCACTGGGATTCCTTCTCTGCTTTGACTCCCAGCCCTGCTGCCACCTGTACTGTACAGCATTGAGTTTTTCTGTCCTGGGATTTGAGGGCCTGTCATTAGGGGAAGTTGAGGTGCTCTTTCTTCCCTTGGCCCCATCAGGGCCTGTTGAGACGGTTCCCGGGGTTCATGGTAAGACAATGACATAGAGTTGGTCTGGAGATGAGTCAGCCTCACTTTGCCTCAGTAGCCTCATCTGTGACAGGATTGGAATCAGGTTTTGTTATGTGCACAGTGTCAGGCACGCTGTGGTGTTTGGTCAGTGGGGTTACTGTGTTGTTTTGTTCTTGCTGCTTTGGCTCTGGGCTTAGCTTGCTGGGACCCTTCTTGTGAGCTGGCTGTGAGTTGGGTCTTTTCTTCCTTTTTACTTTCATGGTAAGACAATAACATAGAGTTGGTCAGGAGATGAGTCAGCCTCACTTTGCCTCGGTAGCCTCATCTGTGACAGGATTGGAATCAGGTTTGGTTATGTGCACAGTGTCAGGCACGCTGTGGTGTTTGGTCAGTGGGGTTACTGTGTTGTTTTGTTCTTGCTGCTTTGGCTCTGGGCTTAGCTTGCTGGGACCCTTCTTGTGGGCTGGCTGTGAGTTGGGCCTTTTCTTCCTTCTTTCTGGACTTTGGAAAATGATCCTATGTAGACAGCTCCTGTCAAGTGTGCCTCTGTGGCACTGGGCAGCACTGTGGTGAGCACTGATAGGGGTCTGACCTAGCCCCACCATTTACTGGCTGTGCCTCCATTTCCTTGCCTTTAAAATCAGGAAGTTGCTGGCTCTGCAGACTGGCTGTGCTCCTGTCTGCACATTTCCCTGTCCTAACAGCATTATAACTGTTGGAAGAGATAAGCATGTTTTGGGATAGCTCATTTTATGTAAACCTGTGCAGTGTTTCTCAGTCCATCTCTCCTTCTAGGGCATGTCTGTATGGTTTGTCCACTAGGGCTTCTGATGCTCTAAACCAGAGTCAGGCATTCATTCCATGGCACATGTGGCTGGGATCTGCCCTGAGACCTGCCCCGTGCCAGGCTCTGGGGGCGCATGGCTGATGGAACCAAGCATGGGGAGTGGAGGTGGAGGGTGCCTTGTAAGCACCGTGCCTGAGATGACCAGACTGGGGACAGAGGTTCTTAGTGGATAATTATTGTTGTCACTCCCTTCCCCCTGACATTTGCAAAGCAGCATATGCTTATAAAAAAATTTATGAAGCAGAAAAATATGAATAAGCAAGTAGGTATTACCCCATCCAAGGGTGACCAATTTTGTATTTTTTTCCCAGCAGATATTAAAGCAAGACCAACAGTCTCCACTCATGGAGGGTCCACTGATCTAAAATGCTGGTTCCTTTTGGACCTTCAGGGCACTTGGGGGAGGCCTTCCTGAGGTGCTGTGCAGTGTTTGGTGTTTCTCTGACCCAGAGGGTCATGCGATCCATGCGTGGCTGAGTGGGCTCTGCAGGCCCTAGTCAGGGAGCATTGCCTGTGCCGTGGCTGACGTCTTCTCTGGCCCTGTTCCCAAAGTCCCTGTTGGCCTGGGAGGAATGGCCTTTCCAGGGGTGTTTTTGTGGGAAGTAGGTAGCTCCCTGTTGGAGTGGGGTGCTTAGGAGGAAAGGGGCCTGGTCTTAGCAGTGATGACCACCTCCCCAAAGCGAGGAACATCTCTCCTGTCACACAGGCCTCCTGATCACTTGCCACGTGGCACGCATCCCTCTGCCAGCCGGATACAGAGAAGAGATTGTGCGGTACCTGCGGTCAGTGCAGCTACCCGACGGCGGCTGGGGCCTGTGAGTGTGCCTGCCCCAGTGTCACTGCACACGCACGTGTGTGTTCTCATGTGGGAGATGCTTGAGTTTCCAGGCAGCTGCCGGGGGGTAGGAGGATGGCAGCTGTGGGCCTGGGGTGGGTTGGGGAGAGCCTAGCAGGAGGGGAGTGGGCTGAGGCTGTGCAGGTGGGGCCTTGGCTTCACACCTCGTGTTAAATGGGTTTTGTGGCTGTTAGGACACTCTTGAGACCCACATATGGAAACTGTCAGTCTCTTATCACTGAGTAGAAGAAAATTGCCCTTGACTCTTGTGCGGGGGAAACCCCGCAAAAGCCAAGGCAATGGTCTGAGGCCACAGTCTACTTTCATATAAATATTGAATTAGAAAAGAATTAGAGATATAGTTACATAGTTATTCCTATATATGATCATAAATAATCCTATAGCTTTTCACATGTAATAATAAATATACGTATATGCAATCATATAATCTTTTTTTTTTTTTTTTTTTTTGAGACGGAGTTTCACTCTTGTTACCCAGGCTGGAATGCAATGGCGCGATCTCAGCTCACCACAACCTCCGTCTCCCAGGTTCAGGCAATTCTCCTGCCTCAGCCTCCTTAGTAGCTGGGATTACAGGCACGTGCCACCATGCCCAGCTAATTTTTTGTATTTTTTTAGTAGAGATGGGGTTTCACCATATTGACCAGGATGGTCTCAATCTCTTGACCTCGTGATCCACCCGCCTCGGCCTCCCAAAGTGCTGGGATTACAGGCTTGAGCCACCGCGCCCGGCCAATCGTATAATCTTTAATTTTACTATAAGCCTCAGGTAAAGAAGTGTGGAACTGAAGTGGCATTGGGAAAGAGGTGACCCTAAGGCAAGATACTCTAAGCCCTGTGTCATGCCCGCATAAGGGCTATTAGAGGGCGCCTTGGCTGTGCGGCAGCGCCAGCGCTGTGAAAGTGCCCGCTGTTTAGCCAGCTAGGGAAGGAGACGTCCAAGATGGCCCAGATGTCTCCTTCCTCAGGGGAGTTAGGAGAAAACTCTGCTCTTCCAAGCTCTTGTGGTAGGCCTGGCGGCTGTCAGAGAGGCCTGCAGACATCCGGGGACTTAACTGTCTCTATGTGATGCTGTGCTTCAGTGGTCATGTTCCACGTCTACTTTCACATTCTGCTTCAGCACGTGGTTCGTCTCTTTCTCAAAAGATAAGAATTAGTAATAGTAACAAATTTTAATGTCCTTGGTATTCTTGACAAGTGTGAAAAAAGTGCTGACGCATTAGGTTTTCCCCTTGCCTTGGCTTCTTGAAAATCTGAGCCCCTGTCTCCAAGACCTGTGACTTACCTGACCTGTCACTGACCACCATTGCCTCAGCCTTTCTACCCTGCTCCCTGCTTTGTACTCAGTAATAAGTCAGAGTGTCCACGCCCTGCAGGCCACTGCTGGTCTCCAAGATCTGGTTGGCAGTGGACCCTTGGGCTCAAACTCTTTTCTCTATCTCTGTGTCTTGTGTCTTTATTTTCACTGTTTCTTGTCTTCACACCTGTAGAGAAGAACTACTTCATGACCTGAGACTTACTAGTAAAATTGAAGATGATAGGATTGTATATATGTATGTATTTATGATTACATGTAAATAGTTATGTGATTATATAATAATTACATGTAGGAATAATTATGTAACTATATTTCTAATTCTTTTCTAATTCAATATTTATATGAAAACAGACTGAGGCCTCAGACTCTTGCCTCGGCTCTTGCAGGGCTTCCCCCCATAGATTCTGGGCTGGCAGCAGGTGGAGGCAGGGCTGGACAGCTGTCCTGCAGTGTGGCACACACTTTGGGAGCAGAGCTGTAGCCCAATGTGGACTGCCCTCGGGAAGGTGTAGAGCAGGCAGGTCAGTTGGATGGAGCAGGGGCTCGGGTGTCATTGGACGTGCATGAACTCCTGCTGGAGAGTAGCTGCTCAGGTGTCTCCTCTGTTGGCATGGTATGTCAGAGTAAGGGATTTTAGCATTCTTGGTTTTCTGAGGAAACTCCAGAAAGTTTTGCTTTATTTCTTAGAAGTAAGGATAGATACTGGTTTCTCACCTATGCTCTGCTCCCGTAGGCACATTGAGGATAAGTCCACCGTGTTTGGGACTGCACTCAACTATGTTTGTCTCAGAATTCTGGGTGTTGGACCTGAGGATCCTGACGTGGTACGAGCCCGGAACCTTCTTCACAAGAAAGGTATGCCCCGTGCAGCATGTGCTGGGTCAAGGGTTCACATCAGCTCTATAATGAGCTCTCACAAACGAGATATAGAAAGGTGCACCTTCAGATGAAACAGTGGGCAAAACACATCAACAGGGAATTTGTCAAAGCAGAAATAGGCAGAAACTGTTTAACAGATGCATAATTTCTTAAAAAGCAAATTAAGAGCCAGGCACAGTGGCTCACGCCTGTAATTCCAGCACTTTGGGAGACTGAAGTGAGCCTTGGAGTTTGAGGCCAGCCCGGGCAACATAGTGAGACCCTGTGTTTACAAAAACAATAAAATATTAGCCAGGTGTGATGGTATGCACCTGTAGTCCCAGCTACTTGGAGGCTAATAAGGCAGGACGATCACTTGAGCCCGGGAGTTCTGGGTTGCAGTGAGCTGATTGTACCACCGCACTCCAGCCTGGGTGGCAGAGTGAGACCATGTCTCTAAAAAATAAATAAATAAATAAATAAACAAAGCAAATTAAGACAACCAGGTAATTATTTGTTTCCTCAATTGACCAAGACCTAAACGAAACACATTAATTTGTTGCTTGAGGAAGAACACAGGAAGCCACCTTCTGGGGGCAGCCTGGCTGCAGGCAAGAGCAGCCCTGGAGCTTGCACCTTTCAAGCTGGCCGTTGACCTCACCAAGCCCAGCCTGGCTACCTCTCCTCTTGCCTGTCAGCCCTAAGGGTGATTTCAGCCAAGGGAATCCATGGGTCCTGCTGCTCCAAGAAAGTCTAGCTCATGTTGTGACTCTGCAGAGCCTGGTTTTTGCCCCCTGCCTTTCACAGACCTTCCGTAGCCCATCCTGCCTGCCCTGCTCTCTGCTCCATGCACAGGGGTGACCTGTCAGCTCCTCAAAGGTCCTTACTACACCAGGGCTCACCATGCACTGCCTCCTTAACCTGAAGCCTCTTACCTTCCACTCCTGCCCCGGTGGCTCACAGTTTCAGTGTTTCTTCTTTGAGGGCCTCATCCTGAACTACCATGCCAGGTGGAGTGTCCTGTGATGCATTCCCATGAGATCCTGCCTCCTTCCTTCATGAGCTTGTCACTATTGTCATCAGTTCACTGTCAGCCTTTGGTGTCATTGATGCTGTGTTCCCAAGGCTGCTGACTGGTTCCCCACCACAGTCCTGGCACCTGCCTGGCGGAGGAATGTGTTTAGGCTGCACTTTAGTAGCTTTGTGGGTGTTAACTAACTTTTGCATACCCTTTGGGGTTTGGAGCAGGGACTCCTCAGAAGTGTGTTTAGACAGTGTGGCTATGCCGGAACTGAGTGCTGCTGAAAGTGGCTCTGGCATATGGGGCCAGTGTGCCGGAGCTGCTCTGGAGTCTGGGGCTTGTCATTGTTCCTGTACAGCACCAGTCTGCCAAGTGGAGATGACAGACTGGGGCAGCTGAGGCTTGGCTCCGAGTGCGAGGCCGAGTGTGCGCTCTTGCTTCCGCTCATTGCCTTCTCCAGGCACATGTGGACGTGGCTGCCATGTGCACCTGGGCCCCTCGCTCGCCTGAGCACTGAGGTGTCCCTGGACCTTCCAGGTAGCTGTCTTCATGTGCTCCTTCCTAGGGCCAGGGGTTGGAAACACCTCTCCTGGGGCTGGAAACACTCCCAGGAAAGCCACTGGTTTCACCTAGGGACTGTGCGTCCAGGGCATTTCTGAGTACTCTGGAACCTGCTTCTCACATGGGGTTGCAGTATCTGCATGAGGCTGCCCTTGGCTCATGGAGAGGGTCATGCGTGACTCCTGGAGGTTGAAGCTTCCCAGCTAGAGACAGCGTGGGCTCTGCTGATAAGCAGCAGATGACACGGGCCTATTCTTTTCCCTCTCAGGTGGTGCTGTGGCCATCCCCTCCTGGGGGAAGTTCTGGCTGGCTGTCCTGAATGTTTACAGCTGGGAAGGCCTCAATACCCTGTTCCCAGAGATGTGGTATGCCTGCTGTTGATTTGTTTGTTGGGTGGCTGCTGCTTCCCTGAAGAGTAGAGGGACAGGGACTGTGGGTCAGGTGCAGGCTGTTAGAGAGGGGTGGTTGTTCTGTGGGTGGGTGCAGTTAGGCTTCTGGAGGGGTCCTTGATCGAGCTGAGTCCTACAGGGATACAGAAAGGGGGTTCACAACTTGGCAGGAAGGAGGCTATGCTGTGGATGGAGGTACCCTGAGTCAGGCTGCAGGCAGGGCGGGGTGGCTTGCATCTTGTGGAAAACTGAGCATCTGTAGAAGTAGAAGGAACTGTCCCTCCCACAGCCTGCGCAGGGGCATCCTGTGCTGCTGTTGCTGCTGCTGCTGACCTTGTCTCCTTTGCTGCTGAATGTGAAGCGTGTCCCAGCATCACACCTCACCTGTGGACTCAGTGTGCTTGCCTTTAAAAGATCAGTGTTTGTTTTTCTAAATAGAACCGAATGTTTTTAAATACCCAGCAAAGCCAACATTAATTTCTTATTATCTGGTGTCTTTTTTTTGTGTGTGTGTGACGGAGTCTCTCTCTATCACCCAGGCTAGAGTGCAGTGGCATGATCTCGGGTCACTGCAACCTCTGGCTCCTGGGTTCAACTGATTCTCCTGCGTTAGCCTCCCAAGTAGCTGGGACTATAGGTGTGTATCACCATGCCTGGCTAATTTTTGTGTTTTTAGTAGAGATGGGGTTTCGCCATGTTGGCCAGCTGGTCTCAAACTCAGGTGATCTGCCAGCCTTGGCTTCCCAGAGTTACAGACGTGAGCAACCATGCCTGGCCTAAAGTTTCTTAAATAAACTTTTAAAAGTAAACCTTATTATTTATTTATTTATTTTTGAGACTGAGTCTTGCTCTGTTGCCAGGCTGGAGTGCAGTGGTGCAATCTCAGCTCACTGCAGCCTCTGCCTCTCGGGTTCAAGCGATTCTCCTGCCTCCGCCTCCCAAGTAGCTGGGCTTACAGCCATGTGCCACCATGCCCAGCTAATTTTTGTATTTTTAGTAGAGATGGGGTTTCACCATGTTGGTCAGGATGGTCTTGACCTCTTGATCTCGTGATCCGCCCACCTCGGCCTCCCAAAGTGCTAGGATTGCCCAGCCTAAAAGTAAACTTTAAATTTTGGAATAGTTTCCAATTTCTGGAAAAGTTGCAAAGATAGCCAAGAGTATTCCCTGGGGCCCTCACCCCATATTCTCCTTGTTGATGCTTTGTGTTACCAAGGTATATTTGTTGCAGCTAAGAAACCCACAGTCATCCTAAGCATTTAGGAGCTCCATCACTTGGCTTTAGGATATAAAATGCTAACTGAACCAGGAGGTGCAGTTCCTTGGAGAGTGCACCTATGGCTCGACTGTCCCCCTCAGGAGCAAGGTTGAGAAATGCCCGCAGGTGCACTGATGCGGTGGGGAACAGCCATCCACCAGTGTCCATGCTTGGAAGGGCCCCTACTGGCGTAGGGGCAGGCTTGAGTCTTGGCGGTCTCCAACTGACTCCTGCTGTTGCCCCAGGCTGTTTCCTGACTGGGCACCGGCACACCCCTCCACACTGTGGTGCCACTGCCGGCAGGTCTACCTGCCCATGAGCTACTGCTACGCTGTTCGGCTGAGTGCCACGGAGGACCCGCTCATCCAGAGCCTCCGCCAGGTAGGACCTCATCAGGGAACAAAGTGAAGGCTTCTGGGGCTGGGACCCATAGGGCCTGGGGCTCCTGGAATCTAACCACACCTGTCCACTCACCTGGGGGCCCTGTGGAACCGAGAGCCCATGATCAGAGTGGGCCTCCACCTTCCTCCAAGCTCTGCCCAGAGGGGACTCGTGCTATAGGACAGGCAGCAGCCGTTGCCCAGGGTTCTTAGGGGGACATCCAGGACTCAAGAGGTGCAGGAGACAGATGTGCACTGTGTCCTCAGGAAGCAGGTCCTGAGGTGGGGTTTGAGGTGCAGGATGTCTATCAGGCCTGCCCTGGGGAAGGAGGAGGGGCAGAGGAAGGAAATGAACTTCTAGGCAGGCCTGGGGCTCATGGAGCTGGGGAACTCTGCAGAGTGGTCTGCACATAGCCACAATGGCCGGGCCTTCATGTACCCTCAGTGTCAGTTGCTGGAGGGCCCTCCCCGACCCAGGAAAGGGCTGGTCCAGGGCCCTGATGGTGGGTGGTGGGAGGCTGCCCCTCCTGGTTTGAGCCAGGCTAGCCGGCTGGCCCCACCAGGAGCTCTATGTGGAGGACTTCGCCAGCATCAACTGGCAGGCGCAGAGGAACAACGTGGCCCCCGATGAGCTGTATACACCGCACAGCTGGCTGCTCCATGTGGTATATGGTGAGTGCCTCCTGAGGGGCTGGCAGGGCAGCCTGTGGTCAGGGTGTCACCCACTCATTCATGAACTCATCCCCTGCCAGTGGCACTGGGCCACCTCCTCTGTGCCAGGCACCAGGAGATGGGATCTCATAGCCCTGCCCTTCCACCCCAAGAACCGGCTGAGCTGACTTCCACTCTCAGGAGCCCATCCTGAGCAAGGGTGTGTGTAGGAGGTGTGGGACAGCCCCTCCTGGGCAGGGAAGGAGGAGCTCAGCAACCAAGCCTGGGGGTGGGGGGGAAGGGGAACCCTGGGGAAGGGCAAGTCCAGGTGCACGGGGCTCCAGGCTGAGGCCAGTGTCCTGGTGCCTGGCGTCCACTGTCCGCTGCCCCCTGCAGCGTTCCTCAACCTGTATGAGCGCTATCACAGTGCCCACCTGCGGCAGCAGGCCGTGCAGAAGCTGTATGAGCACATCGTGGCTGACGACCGATTCACCAAGAGCATCAGCATAGGCCCGGTCAGTGCCTCTGTCCAGCCTCTGGCTGCAGCCCCTGGGGGTTGGGGTCCAAAGTAAAGTCTGGGAGGCTGGGCCATGAGCTGGGAGTAGGGTCCCCTGGAGCCTAGTGCACCATCATTTGGGAGGTGGCCCTCAGATCCCACAGGCGTTTGAGGACTCTGTCCTGGCTCCTTGCACGCCCAGCTCAGTGAAGCCGCCCCACCACACTCAACCCTCCCTCCTGTTCTCCACTTGCTCTTGTCCTAAGGGATGCCTGACCCTCTCCTGGAGGCCTCTTCCTGATCCTAGGGGGTGCCTGACCCTCTCCTGGAGGCCCTTCCTGAGATCTTTCTGGCTAGCTGGGAGGGGTGTTTTTTCTCACTTGCTTCCTTCTGAATTCCCCTCCCCAAATTGTTCATTATCTGTCCTTCCCCCAGGGGGTTTAGAGATGCCCGGGGTGGGTGGGAGTAGCAGGGTCCTCGGGTTCCACTCCTGATTCCTCCTGCCTAACCAGAGACTTGGACCTCTCTCTTCTGTGGGGCCTGCAGGGGGCCAGGTATGGGCTAGTTCAGTGACCTTGGAGGGTGAAATCCCCGGGCTGTGCTGGCACAGGGCTGCTTCCTGACAGAGTCAGCAGCTTCTGGGCTGTGCCGTAGCTGCTGCGGTGTAGTGGGTTGGCCTTGGCATTCTCTGGGTGTACCCAGGTGGCGCTAGGCCACTGAGTCCAACCCTGATGCCGCATCTCGGGTTTCTGGGCCTGATGCCACCTCAGTGAATCACTAATCCTGACCGACCTTGCAGCAGGTCCCTTGTTTTCTGCTCAGCAGTGACGTGGTTCTATGTGGGTTTTGGTTTAATCCCATAGAGAGCACATCTGTACTAAGCATGTTAGAAACATCTTACAATTGGATCTTGACTTGTAAGATCCATAAATAAAAAGTTGGGGCCTCTGGAACAGTCTGCTCTGAGGAAGGAGGGGAGCAAACTTTTCCTACTACTGCAGTCCCATGTCCATATCTCTTCCTGGGCCCCTCAGGCCCTGCCTCTGTCCCCTGTGTTGTTTCTAAGGCACCTGACAGCCCATGCCCCTCTGGTTATGGGCTGGCCCCTATGGCCTCTCTTGGAACCCTTCACTTCTCACTGATGGAGTGCGGCCCCTCCTCATCCTACACCAGGCCATGGCCTCGGCTGATGCTGCCTGTGTGTGAGTCGGGTCCTGGGGACACAGTTGTCCATCCTCTCTCGGTCCCGCCTGCTAGGGCAGAAGGCCCCTGTTCTGGCCCTGAGTGAGCTGCATGGGACCCTGTCCCTGGGGGCTGCTGCTGGTCTGGAGCAAAGCCCTGACAGGGCCGTGTCTCCGGCAGATCTCAAAAACCATCAACATGCTTGTACGCTGGTATGTGGACGGGCCCACCTCCCCTGCCTTCCAGGAGCACATTTCCAGAATCCCGGACTATCTCTGGTGAGTGTGGCTGGGATGTGCTGGTGAGGCCTCTCAGTGCAGCCACACGAAGGCTGGATCTGAGCCTCAGCCGCATCCCAGTGAGGGGGCCACCATGGTGCCATCTGGGAATACTGCCAGGGAACACCACCAGGGAACACTGCTAAGGACTACCACCAGGGAACACCGCCAGGGAGCACCCACCACCAGGAAACACCGCTAAGGAACACCACCAGGGAACACCACCAGGGACCAGCAGTGTTAGGGCTTGTAGAAGCCACCGAGGGTTGTCTTTGAATTGGAAGATTTGCCACCCAGTGGAAGAGTGGGGTGGTTCCAGAAGGTAGGGTGAGGAGGGGCGTGGTGGGCAGCAGGGCAGGTTGGTGTCAGGAAGACTCGTGGACAAGGGGAGCTTGTCAGCCATGGAGTATGCCCTGAAGGTGGGCCCCTGTCGTGGATGGCACAGCACGGTCCCACTGTGGGAAGCCCTGGTTGGTCCCACAACACCGAACACAGGCAACAGGGCTGAGGCAGCCTGGGGTCAGGGGTCAGAGGTCGGGGGTCGGGGAGCCTCCTGCTGCCCTTTGGCTTGGTTGCACCCTTCCTGGGTGAGTGTGTCCTGTCTTCTCTAGAGGGTGTGCCCAGGAGTCTAGCAGCCCAGCAGCCCAGCTGGGTCGGCATCCAGGCCAGTGCCAGGCCTTGGGGGAGGGGACAGATGCCCTCTCTGGGACCTTCCTGAGTGCAGGGTCTGGGTAGCCGGCTGGGCTTCCAGCTTTCTCCTTGCGCCTGACTTGGCCATTTTTGTCCTCACAGGATGGGCCTTGACGGCATGAAAATGCAGGTGAGGGCTGCAGGGGTGAGGGCTGCAGGACCGCAGCTGCCGGCTCCTTTGCAGTCATTTCTACCCTTCATTCCTTTCCTACTGGGTTCATTAAGATGCAGAAGTAACTCCTCCTGGACCAAGTCCCGGCAGCATGTGACCAGAGACTGAGTCAGTCGAGGCCCCTGGCAGTGTCCCTGTGGGTGCCCACAGTTCTCGATTGTCTGTCTGCAGCTGTCCTGTTTGCTCTTTGCCCTGATGGTCCAAGTGGGCCCAACCGTGTAATGACAGACCCGGAGCTGCAGAAGCTCTCCTCTTGTTACTGTGGCAGGAGGCGGCTCTGGTTAATGGGGGCCTCTCCTCCATGCACTCTTTTTGCTGCTGTTGTTGAGATGGAATCTCACTCTCTTGCCCAGGCTGGAGTGCAGTGTCTCGATCTCAGCTCACTGCAACCTCCACCTCCCAGGTTCAGGTGATTCTCCTGCCTTAGCTTCCCGAGTAGCTGGGATTACAGGCATGCAGCACCACGCCCAGCTAATGTTTGTATTTTAATAGAGACAAGTGTTTCACCATGTTGGCCAGGCTGGTCTCGAAATCCTGACCTCAGGTGATCTGCCTGCCTTAGTCTCCCAAAGTGCTGGCATTACAGGCGTGAGCCATTGCGCCCAGCCACACTCTTAAGAGGCTCCTTCTTCAGGTTGTGGGTGCACAGGACAGGAGCCTGGAGGGCCGTGGTGACATGTGGCTGGGCCTGGGAGCTGCCTGGGGACTTGCCCTGAGTGGGCTGGAACCCAGTCATGAGGGGCACCAAGCACAAGGGAGGGGGGAGGTAGACATCGCCACGTCCAGGGAGAGGATGTGCTGGACACTGGCCACATGGCGTTAGTTGGCTTCTTTCTGGATCCTTCCCTGAGCTTTTAGAAGATACACTTGTTTCCAGGCAGGGATGCCTGACCAGGGTCCTTGCCCTCCAGGGGTTGTGCATCTGCCACCACTGTGGGGGAGGCCCTAGGCGTCTCAGATTTCTCAGAAGTCTGTGGACCAGAGTAGCTGAGAGCTGTGTTAGGAAGGGGCCAGCACCGTATTCTGCTATACAGTCTGTGCCATTGGAAGCATCCGCCTGGGTGTGGCCTGCTCCAGGTAGAGGTTGTGGTGGTCTCCAGGTCATTGCTCTACAGAGTGGGTTGGTCATCGAGGTGGGAGAACAGCCCACTCACTGCACAGGAACCGTGGGCTCCCTGCCTGCACTGTCTGTGCTATGTACTATAGGTCCTTCTCTACGCCATCCTGCTCAGCGTCTAGATTTTGTAGATGGTGCTGTCCTGGGTGTGGCCCTGGGGGCAGCAGGGCAGTGTTGAGGGTGGGGTCCTGGATGACCCTGGTCCTGTCCTGGCTCTGGGGGCCCTGTAGACCCCAGTTCTGTCCAACTGGGCTGAGCCTGTGCCCCTTTGTGCATTATCACAGTGGGTGTGTTGGAAGCCCAGACAGTGTTGCCCTGTGTGTTGTGGTCTGGTGAGGGTTATGCCCTGCAGGTCTGTCTTCTGTCCCCCACCTGGTTCAGTGTGGAAATGTGGAGTCTCCAGAGGTGTCCTGGGTGTCATGTATGGGATGGACACACAGGGGCCCAGCACTGTCCGCCCCAGGGCTACCTTAGATGCCAGGTTTCCCCAGCCATGGGCTTTCACCCAGCTGGCCTTGAGCTCCGCTGAGGCTCCCTGGACACAGTCCATGTTTTGTGAAATGGTTTTCAAAACACATGCAAAGTGGATGAGTTACATGAGTAACGAGTCCCAGATCAGGCCCTGGCCTCCCTGCCGCTCCATGACCAGCCCTCCCGCTGCACCCTCTCTTCAGTGCACCTTGGGCTGATGAGGGCCTCTGTGTTTTTATAGAATGCTCTGTGGCTGTCACACCCAGCAAAATTCTGATGGTTCCTGACTGTAGTCCTCATGCTGCCGTTGGTGTGTGTGAATCAGGGTTCAGGCCAGGCCCACACAGGCCTTCGTGTGTTGGTATCTGAGCTCCTGTTCATCCACAGCAGTCTCCTGTGGCCTCTTCTCCTCCCTGAAGGGCTTCACGTTCCGGATCTGACTGGTTGCTCCCTCTGTTCTCTGAGTTTTTGTAAACTGGCCATGCACTGAGGCTTTATCCCGTTGTGTTTCTTTGGTGAGAATGCTTTTCTGTGGTCGCTGGCTCGTTCCTCCAGTGCATGATGTCTGGATGCCTCTGCCCCCTACTGCCCCCCGCCACCATCCCCATGTCTGTTGTGGTCAGTGTCCAACTCTGTCTCACTGGGGCTTGGTCACCGGCCCTTTGAATTGAGACCAGAGTATGTATCTGGGAGTCCAGGTCCGGGGTGACATTTGAGGTGGGGCCTTCCCAGCCCTGTGCAGAATTTCTGTCACCTCAGGTATACTCAGAAATGGGGGTCATTTCCAGGCATCACCATGACTGAGGTGCACCGCTGTCATTGGGCAAGGGCAGCTGGATGCTCTGTGTGTGGGTGCTGGAGCTTCTGAGGGATTGTCCAGTCCTACAGGTGTCCTGAGAGGGACACTGTCCTGCCTGGTGGCCCATGAAGAAAGGTGGGGCTCCCTGACCCATGTCTGCCTGCAGGACTCAGCCTTCTCTGAGGCCCTTGTCAGCCATGAGGGGTGCACAGGGCTCAGAGCCTGAGGTTGAGTGTTGGCTGGATGGGAGCCCCCACACCCGGCCCTCAGGGGCCTGTCGGATCCTGGAGGCCGTAGGTGGGAGTGGGGGGGGCTGCTGCTGCTGTAACACCCTTGTTTTGTGTGTAGGGCACCAATGGCTCACAGATCTGGGACACTGCCTTCGCCATCCAAGCTCTGCTAGAGGTTCGTGGCTCATTCTCTTTTCTCAGCCTCAGCTGACCTTCCTTCCTGTGCACGTGAGCCCTCGCGTCCACCTGAAGGCAGCACTGCCGGCCACACACTTGCGACTCCTTGAGGTTTCCAGTGACCTGGACTCTGGCCTCTGGTTTGAGATGGTGGTGCTGTGGAGGGGGCGGCCTTGCCCAGCAGCCCTGGGTGTTGGGCTGGGTCAGAGGCTTTGGAAGGGCAGGGGCTGGAGGCCGTGTGCACAGGGGAGCCTGGTGAAGGCTGTTTCTCAGAGTGTGGGCAGGAATGGGACTCCAGGCTCTTAGAACTGGAACTGCTCATTATGGGCATTTTCCAGCCAATACTGCAGAGAAACAACAGTGGATTTTGAATGCTGGTGGGAATGAGGTTGGTGGGATTTTCTGAAGGTGTTTCTGGAGTGCCCTGAGGGCTGGGACATTCAAAGGACCTGCCCATACTGGGGTGCTGGAGATCCCCTGGGCATAGACGCTCACTGGGTGGGTGGGGTGCTGGCATCCTAGATGGTCCCTTCTGCTCCCTTCCATCTTGTCATATCTCATGGACCTTTGATTTTTTGTCTTTAAAGGTAAGTGCAGCAAGAAACCCTGGCACTCTCTGGAGATACCTGCCAGTTTCTTTCTGGTTCCCAGTTGGGGCAGGATGTGGCCAGGACCATCGGGGAACCACTCAGCCATGGTGGCCGTGCAAGGACGGCTCAGCCTGTCTGTCCTGCTGTCTCTTCCAGGCGGGTGGACACCACAGGCCCGAGTTTTCATCCTGCCTGCAGAAGGCACATGAGTTCCTGAGGCTCTCGCAGGTGAGGCCTGTGCCTGGGGCCCTGAAGGGGCTGAAGAGGGGGATCAGGGCTGGGAGCTCCTACAGGCTGAAGTGCCCACCTCACCTCTACCCTGTCCTGTTCCCTGTACTGGTTTCTCAGGTTGCCCCTCCCCACCACTGTTCCATCCACCCGTCCTTGGGCTGGCCTCACCTGGAGCAGCTCTGTGAGGCCTGCAGGGTGCTGAGGTGCTGGGGGTCCTGGCAGTTTCTGCATCCTGCTCCTGTTGGAGCCATGGTGTGCAGGAGCCAGGCACAGGTAGGGGCCATTTACCCTGAGCTGCGCAGCCTACACGCCCCCTCTGGGTCTTTGAAGCACCTTCTGCCCACGGAGGTGATGCCAGCCTGGGGATGTTCCCTCTTGAGACTGTTTGCAGCGAAAATCCCGTCCATCCTGCTAGATCAGCTGCCCACAGACAGTGCCCCAGCCCCCAGTTTGACCTCAGTGTCTCACATATGCCTACACCCCAATCTGCAGCCACAGTCATCCCATACGCTGTCCCTGCCATGGCCTCAGCCAGTGTCCTTCTGCCTGGAACAGCTGCCCCTCCCCCCCCAGCCCATCTCACCCTGTCCCTTCAGATGTCATCAGGACATTGCTTCTGCAGGGCCTCTGGGTGTTCCTGGCCTTCATGTGGCCAAGGCTGGCACCCATCTGGGGCTCAGGCAGGGGAGGGGCATTGTCCTGCTCTGGCTGACCCTACAGCGGGCTGCTCCTGCCTCCTGCCTCCTACCCAGGACTTCCTCTGGTTGATGGGGACTTGGGGAGGCTGACTGAACCCCACTACAGTCTAGGCCTCTTCCCTTCTCATTGAGGCAGGAGAGACAGCCCAGGAGCTTAGGTCCACGAAGCTGGGGTTGTTCAGGAGGCGGCGGGAGCCCCTGGCAGAGCACAACACAAAGGCCTGGGCCACCTCCTTGCCTTCTGGCTGGTGGGGAGATCATAGGGGAGGCAGGTGCCTCCCGTCTGGGCTAGTTTCAGCCCTGGCTGGCCAGTCACATTTCCCAGCAGCAGTGGGTGGTGAGCTCTCGATGTGGGCCCTTGGGTGCCTTGCAGCACCAGTGGGGGCTGTGGCCGGCATGTCGTGCCTCTCAAGTCCTGCCCAGTCTAACTCAGTGATGTCCCAGGTGCTGACATGTTCTCTGCTTCCACATTTGCCCTCGATGCTGCCCAGATCCCAGATAACCCTCCCGACTACCAGAAGTACTACCGCCAGATGAGCAAGGTATGTGGGAGCCAGCCCCATCCCTGCCCCATCCCCCAGGGGAAGCTGCCCTCAGCAGGTTGGGTCCTTCCCTTTGAAGGGGGGATTCCTCCCTTGGCATATTTGGGTGTCCTGCTGTGATAGTACCTGGCATAGGGGCCCATGCCTCATGTTGCTGAGCTGCCTGGCACATGGGGGCACTGTTTGCTTGCACGTGTGGCCGTGCCTTAGGGCGGTTCAGGTGGTCATGGCACATACAGGCTTCAGGACAGCCGAAGTGTAGCCAGGGCGTCCGGGGAAGGCAGAGGGAAGAAGAGACCCTAGCCGGTGTGGGCTATGAAATTAGGCATGAGCGCAGCTGCTGTTGCCTGTTTACAGTGGGGGTGGGAGACACCTGTGCCCTGTCATGTCCGTGAGATCTGAAGGTGTTGAGAGTGTGAACTGCTACCCTTGAGGGTCCTTGTGCTGGAACCTGGAGTTCCATCTAGATGTGCCTGGCTTGGGCCCCTGGCTGCACCCACACCTTTGGTGGATGGGTCCCCGTCCTGTCTGGGTGCTCTGTGGTTGGGACGGATGTCTGTGACTGTGGGGAGGGATGTGGGGTGGCTCCGAGGACTGGGGTGTGGACACCCTCAGCCTAGGGTCACGGGTCGTGTTCTGCAGGGCGGCTTCTCCTTCAGCACGCTGGACTGTGGCTGGATTGTTGCTGACTGCACGGCTGAGGCCTTGAAGGCTGTGCTGCTCCTGCAGGAGAAGTGTCCCTATGTAACCGAGCACATCCCCCGAGAGCGGCTCTGCGATGCTGTGGCTGTGGTAAGGCTGTGGTCCTAGCAGCCCTGTCCACAGCTCATGTCTACAGATGAGCTGCGTGCTCACCTCCACTCCCACGGGCCCCACCCCACCACACTCTCCGGCCGGGCTGTAGGAGCTTGTCCTCGGACGGTGTTTGCATGTGGAGAACTGTGAGCTCTGGCTGGACCTCTGGGGGCCTTGCTGGGCTGTTTGCACAGGGCCCTGCACTACAGAGCTGGTGTCCAGCTCAGCGCAGATGCTTGCAGGAGCCAATGTGGCCCCCAGGGTTTCTCTCTGGTGGTTTCCACTGGGTGTCTGAAGAAGGAATTTCTGTTGGTTTTGGTGCCACATTCTTTCAGCACATCTGGCTGTTGCGTGTGTTTCCCAGTGGAGACCCTGCACTGTTCTGGCAGCAGCACACACTTGGTTTCTAAGTCATGGGCACATGTGGGGGCATGTTCCCAGGTGGCTGCGCATGGAGGCCCTGATGGATGAGGTTGCAGCTGCTGCTTGGGGCACCCGAGGGCTTGGTTAATTTGGAAATCGGCTTCTTGCTCCCGTTCCTGCCCCATTGGTTGTCAGCCTTAGTGTTGCCTCTAGAAAGCTCTACTGTGGCCTTCGCGTCTGCGTGTGCTCATCATGTGGGTGAGTTCTCAGGTGCTCTGTGATTTCAGCTGCTGAACATGAGGAATCCCGATGGAGGGTTCTCCACCTATGAGACCAAGCGTGGGGGACACTTGCTAGAGCTGCTGAACCCCTCGGAGGTCTTTGGTGAGTAGTCGGCCAGCACCATGGTACACAAACCCCGGAGCCAGCTTTTCCCCTTTGCCTGAGGCTGCAAGGGCCCAGGTTTACCAGCAGATCTGTCTGGAGTCCTCCCTCAGCCCAGGATGTTCTGTGCTCCTCCATCCCTGGGGGTGGCAGGATCCCTGTGTTGTGAATAGGAGGGCATCAGGTCAGGCTTCGGGGATGGGATGGTGGAGGGTTCCAGTGAGGTCCACAGCCTGGGCTGGCTCCTGCTCAGTCCACAGGGCTTATGTTCTGCAGAGGCTGCTGTGTGTCGCGAGCACACTGCACACTTCGTGGATCCCAGAGCACCTGCGGGGAGGTGTCTGTGGGGACTGAGGGGACCCATGTCATGGGCTGGTAGGCTGCTGTGTGTGCGTGGCTGCCATGGTATTGGTCTGGGGACAGGATCTCACTCCTGGTCCACCTTTGGGCACCTCACATGCCCCCTTCCTGGTCCTCTACCCATCGCACATGGCTTTCTGAGCTGGGATTGCAGCTTTCTGCTGCGTTCCCCCCATCTTTGCTCTCGTAGTACAGGTGTGTGTCCTGGGCCGGCCAGTGCTCTGCAGGTTGGTCGGGGAGGCAGCATCCAGGCATGGGTTCTGCACACTGCGACACTCTTGCTTGTCATGATTTGGCCTGAGTTGCAGGCCCTGGGCAGCCAGGGTGAGACTCAGCACCTTGGTTCTTCCTTCCCTTCCGCAGGGGACATCATGATTGACTACACGTATGTGGAGTGCACCTCGGCTGTGATGCAGGCACTTAAGCATTTCCACAAGCATTTCCCAGACCACAGGGCAGCCGAGATCAGGTACGAAGGGCCTCGGCCTGGGATGCTCTCACTCAGTGTGGGGGCTGCCAAGTTGGGGTCCAAGGCCCAGACACAGCATTCTCCAACAGCCCTGGCAGCCCGTCTCAGAAACAAAACTCACGTAGACGTGGAGAGGCTGCAGAGGTTATTGAATTCAGTTATATGCCCTAAAGCCTACAAAATATCTATTGGGGCTCAGAATGGCATAACTACAACACAAAAATGGATTTTCTCCCTATCTTTTAACAATGTTAAAAAGACATTACATACGTGACTCCACCTGTGTTCCAGTAGCAGTTTTTAAGGGTAGCAAATATTCAGGAAAGTGTACAGGTTGATCTTCTGAAGCAAACAGGTACTGGTGCTAACATTGAACATGGCGATGCCACCAGAGCCCTCAGGCGTCCCCATGAGGGGGCCGCCCACACGCCTGCCAGGTTGTGGGTTTCTGTTGCTCGCTTTGAAGCTTGTCTAGGTGGAATCCTGAGATGTGTTCTTCGTGTTGCCTTCTCATCTGCTTGAGGTTAGCCAGGTGGCTGGGGCAACAGTAGCATTCTCTCACTCGGGCACTTGGTTGAATGCAGGTGCTGTGCTGTCTAGCTGCCTGTTCTCAGCACCTGGGAGGATTTCAGTCTGGGTTTTTATGAAGTGCCTCTTGTGAACACTCTTGTACTTCCCTTTTCAGGCACCTGGGTACTTATTTCTCACAGTCATGTACCTAGGAGTGTCATTGCTATGTCAGAGGGTACGTTAAAGGGCATGTGGTTTTTGCAGGTTCTTTATCCTACTATGATTACAGTTTTTACTTTTGTTAAACCTGATGTAGACTCACTTTGGTCATGATGCGCTGTCTTTTTATATATTGCTGGATTCAGTCTGAGGAATATTTTGTTAGGAGTTTAACAGCTCTGGTTACAAGAGACACTGGTCTGTAGTTTTTCTTTTTTAAAGTTGGGGTTTCACCATGTTGCCCACCAGGATGGTCTCAATCTCTTGACCTTGTGATCCGCCCACCTCGGCCTCCCAAAGTGCTGGGATTACAGGCGTGAGCCACAGCGCCCGGCCTATAATTTTCTTTATACTGTATAAAATTATATGAAATTTTCTTTATGTAATGTCTTTGTGAGGTTCTCTTGTTAAGATGATGCCGAACTCAGAAAAGCAGTTGGAAAGTGTTTTTTAAAATACTCTTTGGAAGAATTTACGTAATGTTCGTAATATTTTTGCCTTAAATATTTGGGAAAAATTACTGGAAATGTCAGTTGGGCCCGGAGTTTTCTTTGAGGAAAGGTTTTAAATTAGAAGCTCAATTTCCTTTTTTTTTTTTTTTTTTGAGATGGGGTCTTGCTCTGTCACCCAGGCTGGAGTGTAGTGTAATTTCTTTAATAGTTTATAGGACTGAGTAGATGTTCCATTTTTGTATCAGTCTGGGGAGTCTTCCTTTTTTCACTCAGTTTTATACTGATTGGCATGAGTATTCCATGTCCTCTTGGATGGCTCTGAGCTCAACACTGACATCTTCATCTTTCTTCTGAAATCTTATGCCGATCTTTTGAAAAAAACAAGAACAAAAACTGTCTTAGTCTTTGATTCTGTTTTTTAAGAGATTTTATTTTTTATTTCATAATTTCTATTCTTTGTTATTTTCTTTCTTTTTTATATTTTTTGAGACGGAGTCTTGCTGTCACTCAGGCTGGAGAGCAGTGATGTGATCTCAGTTCATTGCAACCTCCGCCTCCTGGGTTCAAGTGATTCTCCTGCCTCAGCCTCCCGAGTAGCTGGGACTACAGGTGCTCGCCACAATGCCCAGCTAATTTTTTGGTATTTTTAGTAGAGACAGCGTTTCTCCATGTTGGTCAAGCTGGTCTCAAATTCCTGACCTCAGGTGATTCACCTTCCTTGGCCTCCCAAAGTGTTAGGATTACAGGTGTGAGTCACCACATCTGGCCTTTGTTGTTTTCTTTCTCCTTTATTTTTCTAACTTGAATGCTTAGATATTTGATTTCAGGTTTGTATTGAAATATGCACTTGAGGCTATAAACGAGTTTTGATATATCATCAATTAAAACTGTTGTTTGGTGCCCGCTGTGGCAGCACAAATACTAAAAGTGTTTTCTGTTTCTACTGTTCTTCTCTGACCCTGAGTTATGTGGGAGTGTGCTGCTTCATTTAACATCTGAGGATATTCTGGTTGTGTTTTTGTTGGAAGCCGTGGGTGGAGCTGGTGTTTTCTTGTGCTTCGCAGGTGGAAGCAGTGTGTTCATTGTCTTCCATGGCCTGGCACAGCCGTTGGCCACGTGCTGCCCGGTGATGTGAAGTGGGCGAGAGTTGTCCTCAGCCACACTCACAGAATTGGACTTTTAAAAAATATATTACCTTTTAAAAATCACTATAATAAATGTAAAGCAGGTTCTTTACAGACAAGACTTGCAAAATATAGAAAAGTACAAAGAAGAGGCTAAGTCGCCCCCTCATCACCCCTGAATAAGAATCTTCTGTTGCTGTTTGGTCTCCACATTTCCGTGGTGGTTTGCCGCCCCTCTTCAGGCCTGGCCCACTTTGTGCCTGGGTGAGGTTTCTAAAAGCCCCACCATTGAACATGCTCCTCCGGTACAAACCGTAATGGCACAGGTGTTGTGTCATTTCACTAAGTAGCTTCTGGGTTATTTTTCAATTTTCATTGTTGTTTTTTTAGCTTTTTCCCCAGTTTAACCTTAACTGGTATTTTCTTGTTAAATATTTATTCATGACCATTATTATTCCCTAGAGCCGTATGGCTTGGGGTCTGCCTGCTGGGGTGGGCCCCCAACCCTCCCTCTTCTGGCTGACCTGGCCTGGTCACTTCTCTGCTCATCTCTTTCCCTGCCTGGGTGGGCAAGAGTACAGCCTCGCAGAGCGGAGGGATTGTGAGAGGTGCCGCAGGAAACTGCATGTCACCTGTTGTCACTGTGTAGAAATGGATACCGGCTGTGGCGCATGGGGAGCCGTGGTGACTTCATCGTGGGTTTCCTCTGCATTTCTTTGGTGACTTCCAAGCTAGAACCTTTTTTATAATTTATTTTTTTAGACAGAGTCTCGTTCTGTTATCCAGGCTGGAGTATAGTGGTGAAATCATGGCCCACCACAGCCTCAAACTCCTGGGCTCAAGCAATCCTCCCACCTCAGCCTCCTGAGTAGCTGGGAATAAAGGTGTGTATACTGTTACTCCTGGCTAATTTTAAAAATGTTTTGTAGAGATGGGGTCTAGCTCTGCTGCTCAGGCTGGTCTTGAACTCCTGGGCTCAAGTAATCATCCTCCCACCCCAGCATCACCAAATGCTGGGATTACGTGGTAAGCCACCAGCCCCAGCCATTTTTAAAATTTTCACTAAGATGGTTTTTCTTTCATTTTTAAGCACAATAAAGTATTTGTGTATTATGTTACAGATATTTTCTCCTCAATTTCTTTCTTTTTATCTCTTTAGGGTGTTTGAACGTAAGTGTTAAACTTTTATTTATTTATTTTTATTTTTATTTTTGAGATGAAGTCTTGCTCTGTCGCCCAGGCTAGAGTGTAGTGGCGCAATCTTGGCTCATTGCAACCTCTGCCTCCCGGGTTCAAGGGATTCTCCTGCCTCAGCCTCCTGAGTGGCTGTGACTAAAGGCATGTGGCACCATGCCCAGCTAATTTTTTTTTTTTTATTATTATTTTTTATTTTTAGTAGAGATGGGGTTTCACCATGTTGGCCAGGATGGTCTCGATCTCTTGGCCTCGTGATCCGCTGCCTTGGCCTCCCAAAGTGCTGGGATTACAGGTGTGAGCCACCACACCCAGCCAAATTTTCAACTTTTAAATGGTTAAATATATTAGTCTGATTTTTATATTAAGATTTTAAGGCCGGGCGCGGTGGCTCAACCCTGTAATCCCAGCACTTTGGGAGGCCGAGGCGGGTGGATCACAAGGTCAAGAGATCGAGACCATCCTGGTCAACATGGTGAAACCCCGTCTCTACTAAAAATACAAAAAATTAGCTGGGCATGGTGGCGTGTGCCTGTAATCCCAGCTACTCAGGAGGCTGAGGCAGGAGAATTGCCTGAACCCAGGAG